ACAAATGAGTATTGATAAGATTTCTGACTGGTTGCTACTTGGGGTTTTACTCTTAACCCTGACCCGAGTTCTCCATCTGGGTGTTAAAAACCCTCGTTTAACCTACAAACGTGATGTGCTTTGGCCACTACATCATTTCAAAAAGACTTGGTGATAACAATATCAGAGGACTTAAAGTGGAATAAACATGTCCTGGACATTGTCAAAAAAGGAAGCTTTCTTTCATTGCAAGTTACATTTCGGTCACTTTCTGTAATACTAAAAATTTTTGTTCCCTATGTTTGACTTGAGTTTGAAAGTAGTATTTGGAGCCCCTACTTCCAAATAGACGTAGAAAAAGTTCAAAAACATTTTACCAAAATGTCCAAAAAATTGAACCCATAAAGCTATGTCAACCGACTTAAATTCCTAACCCATATATGTATTTAGTAGTGATAATTGACTGTATTAATTATACTTTTAATCTAAGGTCTTGGTTGAGATGAAAAAGCCAGGGTCACAAGCGGGATAGCAAATTTATATAGCGGGAATGTAGCAAAAAGAGGGAAAATTCGAAAGGTCTTAGTTTGAGATGAGGGATTGGTGTCTGTGGGGATCGAAGTCAAGATAGCTCAAGTGGTTAGAGCAGTGGCGTATTGAGCCGAAGGTCGTGGGTTCGAATTCCACTCTGACACTAGCTTTTTCATTTCAACCAAGACCTTAGATTAAAAGTATAATTAATTAAAATTAAATTCTTAAGTTTAACAACCCTTCCAAATCATGGAGAAAGACAAAATCTCATCGAAATCTATAAAATTCTTACATATAAATATGACCCTAGCCTCAAACAGTGCTCCTAGAAATTGGTTGGATCAACATTCTTCTCAAACTGCGTCGTAGAAAATTGGAATAATCTGCCTTCAAATGTCATCGACTCAAGATCAAATGTCTTTCAAATCGAATCTTGACAGTCATCTTCGTGAAAAAAAAACCTTTCTTTTTTTTTCCGTCAATTTACAATATTTTATTGTAAAATTTGGTTGCTATACCTAGGTCATTAATATTATATTGATTGTAAATTGTTATTTGTCTCCAAAGATTTTATTTTAAATGTTATACACTTGAATTTTATTGTTTGTTTCCTAAGATGTTGAGTGTTTATTGGCATTTACGTTGTTTACTCATGTAACAATAAAATAAAATTAAAAACTAATTAAATTCAAGCTTCGCCCACTTTATTCTGGGACTTAAACCAATGTATTATTAATTATGAATAGAACACATTCGCACACATTCAAAACTGATGAGGCTATACAAAGGATGTATGCATAAATGTGATCGGAGAATTTATGAATTCAGGGAAGTCATTAATGGAACAGAAAAAAAACAGAAGCAGGATTGCTTCCTTAGGGGTGAGGGGGCTTATTTGGGAATGATACAAAAGAAAAGAGTGGAACCAGTGGCGGACATTGTCGGAGAAAGATAAGGTTTTAAAGAAAGGAATCTACGGTACTAAAGGCTTTAGAAAAATGGATAAGGTCAAGAATCATGATTTTCCGTTGTTCAATTGCAGTCTTTGTAATGTTGGGTCAACCTGGGTTTGCAATAATAAGAGATCACAAGGAAACTACACTTCCCCCTAAAATAATCATTGCCAAAAGAAGAAATTACTGGAATGTTCATTTCAGTTTTGTTAAAGTCGTGAGGAGCGGACAGGAATAAAGTATCTTAGAAAAACACCTTTTTCATTTTTTGCCGATGTTTAGACCTTTCTTCTAAACATGTTCTTCAGGGCCTGGGTGAACTACAAAATATGTTGATTGGAAAAAATGCAATACAGATGTAAATATAAATTTTGAACCAAGTATTTGATACTCGCATAAAGTAAGGTGCTATTATTGTGGTGTGATAATGTTTTGTGTGAAATGTGAATTTATATTTCGCTGTTTTTATATTATTGTGACAGGATGAGAGACGTAAATCTGGGAAATTTGATCATAGGTGGTTTTATATAACTCAAAGGAAGTTGAGTATGGGGATTTTCTGGATTGGATTTGTGATTTGGGATTTGTTCAATATGGAAAAGGAAGTTTATTATGGACGAAGTTTGTTATAACGAAAAAAATGATCTGAGAAGAAAGAAAATGAAAAAAAATATTTTCTGTAATTAATGCTGATATCTATCTCTGTTGATGTAAACCATTTCTAGAAAGTTGCAAATAGAAACGCAACTTTCAGATATACACAAGGTACATACATGCAAACAGCTGTATGCCAACATCATAAAGCAAATAAACCATTAAACTTTACTTTTATATTTCCTTTTCCTTCGCTATCATCCATAATAAACCTCATTCTTGACTTACTTTGAGTTATATAAAACCGCCTATGATCAAAGAAAATTTCCTAGATTTACCGCGTTCCCCAACCGTCCCTAACACTAACCCTACTTAACCTAAACGTCCCTTTTATTAACTCTAATCTGACCTAAATCGTCTCTAACATTAACCATAACCTGACATAATCATCCCTAACATACCCGTACCTTACTTAACTTAAATCATCCCAAACACTACCGTACTTAACAGAACCTAAATTGTCCCTAACGCTAACTCTAACCTGACCTAAATCGTCCGCAACACTAACTCTACCTAAGCTAACCCCCAATTGTCCCTAACTTTAGCCCTAACCTGACTTAAACCGTCCCTAACACTAACCCTACATAATTAATCTAAATTGTCCCTAACCCCAACCCCACCTGACTAATCGCGTCCATCACACTAGCTCTATCTAACCTGACCTAAATCGTCCCTAAAACCAACTAACCTAAATTAACCCTAACATTAACTCAAAGCTGAACTAAATCGACCGTAACTTTAACCCTAATCCAACCAAACCCGTTCCTTACACTGGTGCTACCTAACCTGACGTAAATCGTCCCTAAAACTAACTGACCTAACTCTTCCCTAACGTTAACTCTGAACCGTCCCAACACTTACCCTACCGTACCTAAATCGTCCCCAACTCTAACCCTACTTACCCTAACCTAAAAGTCTTTAACATTACTCCTACCTACTCTAACCTAACCTTAATCGTATCTAACAGTAACCCAACCGAACCTAACTCATGCCTAAAATTAATGTTAACACTATCTAGCCTAACTTATATTTTCCTTAACACTAACCCTATCTAACCTAACCTAAATCTTCCTTAAAACTAACTCTATTTTACCTAACCCTAACTCTACCTAACCTAACCTAATCTAAGCCGTTCCTAACCTAAATATTCCCTAACAATAACCATAGTTTATCTAACCTAACTCGCTGTAACCTGAATTGTCCTGTACACTAGCCATACCTAACCTAACTCATTTCTAACCTAACCTAAACCTTCCTAGCACTAACCCTAGTTTACCTAACCTAAATTTTCCTTAACACTAACTCTAGTTTACCTAACCTAACTCGCCTCTAGTCTTAACCTAAATCGTTACTTACATTAACCCTACCTAACCTTACTGAATGTAATGCATTTAGGCAAAATGTAATGTTGTTTATAAGTTTAATGTATAAATAGTTTTATTAGATTCGAGAATTCAGAGGTTATAGTTTTTATTATTTATTATAAAATTAAAATAAGATTTTAATGCACAAGTCCCAAATGTGGGCAGATTTATTGTACCTGTTAGTACACTAGGACTGACACCAGTCCTCTTTGTTTATGTTACATTTACACTTAGTCTGTGATATCAATTTGTAAAAAATAATAAATGGTAAAAAAAGAGACAATATGTTTTATACATGTTAATAAAAAAAGGATTACATCCCTGATCCCAAATATATTCTAAATCTTCCTAACACTAATCCTAGTTTACCTAACCTAACTCGTCCTTAACACACCCTACCTAACCTAACCTTAATCTTCCCAAACACTAACCCTACCTAACCAACCTATGCATACTCCCTGGTAACAAAAAATTTTCTGTATCCAGTCCAAAATATATGATCTGTAATTTAAGACAATTAAAAAAAAAAAATAAAACGTGAACACACTAATTTAACAAAAAGATAAGGGATGTCAAGTTGAAAATTAGTTATACTCAAGGGGGATACTTTTGTTTTTGCCTGACAGAAGAAAACAGAAATCCATTTTGAGCATTTTTTTTAACAATGGATACCAGGAACTGGAAGAATTAATAATTTTTTTAAACAAAGTTGTAATAATTGTCCTGTTTTTGTTCATTTCCCTCCTTTTTGTATTTTATTTTTTTTTATTTTTATAATGGATACCAGAAACTGGAGGAGTTTCTCGTCTGACGGCTTCTCTTTAGATGTGGTTTTACTTCCTTGTATCTCAGGAGACTGTTGGTCCACACAGCCACAGTTTACAATGCCAGTATGGGACAAGTATGCACCCTGTTTTGTCTCTTTATACAGTGTTTTTGGCCAGCATACTAAATCTCTATATGTGACCAGGGGCCTAACCGATGTAGGTTATAACCAATATGCCATCATGAGTTTTTGCTGGACAATCTCTGGCCAACGCATATGACTTCTCCATTTGAGCATTTGGTGAAGCTACCTAGATTCTTAGTTTCTTTGGAGAAGTTTCTGGCTTCTGTTAAATGGGTAGTTTTAGATTAACATCCTTCTTCATCACATTTTAATTCTTTCTAGAATTTTGTGATTGATCCTTAGATTTGGTTTTATTTCTTTGAATTTCAGGAGTCTATAGGCACCTGTTGAACACCATCTTTTGTCCTAAAAACCTCTTGCACATTAATGTAAAACAGGCTATTGAATTGAGCAAAGCAATTAGAAAATTTATTTATTTTTTAACAAAAAGCCACAGATGAAACATTCTGTCGGCAAGGATTTTTAACAGTCAGTTAACACATGGTCCCCTTTTAATAATGCAAAGAATAAAGAAAATGCACGACACAATGAAAATATAAAATGGTCATCTCCGAGGAGACGGATTATACAAACTTATCAATTAGTTTGCAATTTTTATTGTAGCAAAATTTGAAGATCAATAAGTGCTACAATTCATAAAAATAGTTCGTTGTCAATTGCCTTGAATAAGTGACCTAAGAAGAATTATAAACATGAATGTAAGCTTGTTTTCTTATAAAATTTAAAAAAAGATGATAACTAACAAAAACTTTATTTCAAATACAAATAAATTAATATTTTAAAATTACTCAAAAAGTATCTTCTACATAGAATAAAGCTTTAAACATTAGAAAAAGTATTATCATTGAAAAAAGAAGAAAGAAAACATCATACTGTTTATAAATTAGTATTAGCAAAAGGATAGTAGAAAGAAAGCAAAAATTAATTCAAGATATGCATGCATCAGTAAGTATTCTCCTTTCCAGTCATAGACTGAACTAATTCATTTATTGTATTTTCCTTTAAAGTATATTTATTTATAACAACAAAAAAATATACGACCAAATTCACGTGTAAAACAATACACAATTAATAGATTAGTTATTCATCTTTTTTCACCGATTAGTTATTATATTCCTGCTGAAAAATGTCTCCTACGATGAACTTAGTCGTAAGTAATGAAAACAAGTTTATTTGTATTGTGTTGGGTTATGTCTATATTGACATTAGATTTTATGTTAAAAATTCATCACTAAAACAATTTTTTTCAAACTAGCACTCCCATATTTTCTTCAATTCATAGAAAACCATTGCAATGTAACCTAACACTAGCTAATCTAATCTAAACTGCACTAATGCCAACACTACCTAAATTGTTCCTAACCCTAACATCAACTGTCCCTATCCATAACCCTACATTACCTAACTGATCCCTAAACCTAATCTATCTCTACCTTTTCCCTTCTCCCAGTAACACTGGAAGGAAAGTTTATTTCCACCTGCCTCCTTAATGATTGCAGGTACTTTGCTTATAGCCTTTGTTTGTATGACAATAATGTTTAATATTATTAATTACATTGTAACTATATGGTGATCTAGTTCCCACTATCAAAACATTACTTATTGTAATATTGGTAAAATGAAAACAATCATTCTGCCTTAGGTACTCAAGTACTCTAAGTCCTTTTTGCAGACGATTGGCAGATTTTCTAACAGATGTCATCACTAATATTAACCATCATTAATTCCATCTCCACATGGTCAATAGCAAATGTGAAATTTCACCTTGTTGTCTGAACCTATAATTCGATCCTTACTAATAATCTCAGTCTGCCAGACCAACCCAGCGAGGAAAAAAGCAAATCACTTTAAACCCATCTAAGACCTAAGCAATTACTATCTCCGTTTCATTCTTAAATGTCACAATTTCATATTCTACAACTGTTCGCAGTTTGAGGATTATTTTTACTGAGAGACTTTCCTGGCAGCCTCAGGTTAATGCATTATGCAAACAAGTTTACTTTGGTCTTCAATCTCTTAAAAAAATATTTTTTAGTTATTTACACCTTATGTAAGGCTTCATTTTTACACATTCTGTTATTGTATCTTCCTTTTTAATCAGTTGCTTGAATCTTTTGCATTTTGAAATAACTTGCAAAAATTACCATTTGGTTAGAGAGGCAACGTGAAGGATAAATTGAGGATACCGATGAGCCAAAAATGTAGATCCATCAAACACTAGGTTAAAACTAAGCGTTAGTTCAGTAGAATTGCTGATTGACACTATCAGAACGGAAAACCTGTGCAGATGTAGCTCGAAAGAAGATGATACAGCAGAACATGTCCTCAGTTAGTGCGAAGACATTAGCAGGCTGAGATTCTTACTTCTGTGGGTAAAAAGACTTTAGCTTAACAAAAAGCCCTAGATAATAATTGAGGTTACACAATAAACCAATATTGGTCATAAAGAAGCCATCTACTTTTAACTATTAACCTTTCCTTCCAAGTGGCTGGATTGAGAGTCTGGAATTATCCTACATCTGATGTGAGACAACAGGTGGTTCATTGGTGCAAAAGATCACATTGCAAACAATACATAGCTTTTTTTTCTCCCTAACCTAACTTAACCTCCTAAACTAACAATGAGACAGACTTTTTCCAATTTATAAACTCTATTGATTTTAAAATCGTAAAATAATTGTGCTTGACTTAAACATTAACACAAAAGTTGTTACTATAAACAAGTTAAAAAGAATTACCTGTAATCATAATGGGAGCAAGTTATAACTAACCCTAATACTACCTTACCTAACCTAAACTTACTAACCTAACACTACCTTACTTTACCTAAACTTACTAACCCTAATACTACCCTGACAGGTAAAAAATTCCACCCACTTGTGATATAACTTGATTTGTATATATTTTTATATATTAATCGAAGTTTTGTTTTTTAACGTTTAATAATTGAGTCTTTGTCTAAAAAAATTAAAAACTTGTAAATTGCTAAGGAAAACGAAAAATGGAAAAAAAGGACAGATAAAATTTATTTTAATTAAATTTTTAATTACCATTTCAATATCATGTATTTTGTTTTCTTACCTTAATTACATCTCGAAGATGCCTTGGCATACTTTCTACCAGTCTGGAAATGTCTCTTTGCTGGAGGTTAGCCCATTCTTCACAAAGAGACCTTTCAAGATCGTGGAGTTTATCAGGAAGTGATGGACGTGTTCTTATTCATCTTTTGAGGTTTTCCCTTAAATGTTTGATGGGGTTGTTCAAGTCTGGAGAACAGGCTAAGATTGTTGTCATTGTTTGTTTATTGATATGCTGTTGAAGGCATGTTTGTACTATGCGAGCGACATGTGTACAGGCATTATCGTGCATTAGAGTAGGATTGTCGCTGATTTCATCAAGGATAGGCAACACATGATGTCCCAAAATTTAATCCACATTGCGAGTGGCTATCAAAGACCTAATGACTGTGTTGTTCTCGAGCAAATGCGAGCCATGCAACAATGTGTGTTCTGGTCAGCTTATGGAGCGAAAAGCCATCAGTCCATACTGATTCTCTGCACTGAGTGCGCTCAGAAATTTGGATACCTCGAACTTCCTGGAGCTGATGAATGCTTGAACAACAGTAAGGTGCCGACTTCACAAAATGCTCAAAGTAAAAAAAGGGTCATATTATCCTAAGGGGTCCAGAACTGGGCCTTCTATGGTAAGACCCAGTTTCTCGAAAATGTCTAACGGTGTCTCGCAGAGTTATAAAGGGAACTCCAATGACAAAGCTACATACCTGTCCATTATCTACAAGTGCCACACCACACGCAACATCCTCAGCACTAAGTGGCATTTTTAAGTTTAAAAATTGAAATTAAGAAAACAAAGATGAAAACCAAACAGTTTATTGCTTCAGAATTCAAATGAGTCTGAATAAACATTTTAAATTCCATAAAAAGTAAACATTGAAACATCTCTTATCCTTGTTTTGGATTAAGGATTAAGTGTGTTTACCTCTAAATGATATTCCCAATTTAAAACATAGCATAAACAAATATTTGGTAAAAACAATGAGACAAATTAAGGGCAGAATTTTCTTTTAACAAGAAAATGAAAAAAAAAATCAATTGGGTGGAATTTTTTGCCTGTCAGTGTATCTAACTTAACCAAAAATGGGGCCATTTTAGTTTTTATCTCTTCTTTTGTACCGTTTTTCTTTTTTCCCTCTTTCTGCTTCCTCTTATCTTTTAGTTTTTAAATTAAGTTTTTACTATATAGTTTTGTTATTGTGCATTTGTTGTATATTACGAATGGGGCACATGCTCTTTTTGTATGCTTCATAAATAAATAATCTAAAAATGATGTTGAATTCACAATTTGCACACTTTCTCTCTGAGATGAAACTTGGGCCTCAACTTAGTAGAGATTGAGCTAAAAGAATATAGTCCAGCTTGTGTAGGTTTAAAAAAAAAAAAAAAAAACGGGGAGTGACCCTAATAAATTGACACCCTGAATATCCCGACCCTATATTGTAATAGTTTTTAAATATTGTGATTTCACGCTATAATATGACATTGTGTCTACAGTATGCCCACTACATACAAAGATAACATTAATTTATATTTGAACCTAACCAATTTTTCTTTTCTTTTCAGAATAAAATATGTAGAAAGTGTGAAAAGTCCAACTGTTCGCAATGTTTGAATGGGCAGATAATCATAACCGGAGAAGAAGATGGTTGCGATTTCGACTCGTCTAATGCAAGTTACACCAACATCCTCCATAATGTCCAACAGACCAATGATTTCCTATGGGCTACAAGGGATTTAAATTTTCAACGAGTTAACATCTCTCCTATACCAGCACCAAGTCCGAAGCAGTTAATACAGATTGTTGCTAAACATGTAGCAAATAAATTACAGAATCAAGTAATGAATATATTTTTTAATTTAATATATAAAATAAGTGAAAAATAATCAGAAGAAATAAGAATTTAATTAAACCAATTGTAGGGACAGTTTAGGCAAGGTAAGGTAAGGTAGTGTTAGGGGTTAGGTGTGATTAGGTTAGGTAGGTTTAGAGACAGGTTAGACTAGGTAGTGTTATGGTTATGGGTATTAATGGAAGTATGTGTTGTTTGTAATTGCATCAAAGGTTTCTTAAATGTAAAATATTATGTGTCACATGTAATGTTTTACCCTGGATATATTTACAGGATAGACAATTTTTGTGTGACTTAGCTTAGGTTAGGTAAATTAAGGTAGGGTTAGGGTTAGATATACTTTAGTTTAAGTAGATTTAGGGATAGTTTAAGTTAGGTTAGATAAATTAATGTATGTTTAGGGTTGGCGACAGCTTAGGTATTGTTAGTTTAAGTAGGGTTAAAGACAACTTAAGTTAGGTTAGGTAAATTAAGGTAGAATTACGATTAGAGACAGTTTAGGTTAGGTAGTTTTAGGAACAGTTTTAATAAGGTTAGATAGGATTAAGGACTGATTTTTTTTTATTTGTTCATTTATTTTAACATGCTCATCCCACCATTACAATTAAATGTAAGAAATTTAGATTTTTTATGCATAATAAAATTAAAAATGATAATTATTAAACTGAATAAAGTCTGGCTTAATTGACAGACATTGGGGAACACTAATTCACTGTGTCCAATAAGGCGAATATTGCATCTACGAATGCACCAAACTCCGTGATTAGTTCCGACTGGAGAAGCACTGAAAGCACTGACTCTGCAAAAGACCTCCATAGACCTAAAGTGCATCTTCAAGCATGCCCACCACATTCCCAAAGAGTTCGACTGTCTGAGGTGACAAATAATTGCATGATCAGGCAGGAGTTGAAAAGATGTTTAATGGAGATATGCTGTCATTTTTCCATGACCTAAAACTATTTTGAAATGCTTCGTTTTTAGCCTTGTGGAGGCTCAGGACAGTTCATGTTAGGTTAGGTTAGTTAGGATTAGGTACACTTTTAAGATGTCTTTTTCTCCAACCCCAGACATTGAAAGACTCAGCTGTTAAAGGATCATCTCGTGGTCCATTAAAGACTGAGTCATGCGACAAGTCTCTTTTAAAAAAAAGGTGGGTGTCAAAACTGAAAGCTCACCAATAAAATGATTTAACTCTGTAGAATAATTTAGCTAAAGCTCATTGAACATTGAGTCTTTTAATTTTAAAAAATGACAGTTGTACAATAATTATTTTTAACATTTTTAAGGACATGCTAACACCAGATACAGTCACAAGGATAAATCAAATTTTAAATGAGATTGGTTATGATTTCAATTTGCCAATTATTAGGTGGTTAGCATGGGTGCTTAATAGAACACTTAAATCGACATTGGATGGCCTTTATGTTTCAAACGTACAAGCGGTATGTTTTCCACATGGTGGCAGAATATCTCCAATATATTTATGTTATTAATTAATGTTTCAATAAATTTAGTTGTTGGCCAATCAAGGGAAAAGTCCAGTTGTGCTCCTACCTACTCACCGAAGCTACGCTGATTTCATTCTGATGGCATATATTGCATTTTTAAACGAAATTGAGTTACCATGTGTGGCTGCAGGAATGGGTATGTGTATAAATTACCTATATCATTTCTCTTACTTTGGTCTGACACCTTTCATTCCGAACCCATGGTTGAGGAAATATAGTGCTGTTATTGTATAATAATAAAAATATTAAAAAATTTTCATGGACATTTTTACAGACTTCCATGCAATGTTTATGATGGGTAGCATATTAAGAAAGTGCAAAGCCTTTTACATGAAGCGGCGTTTTTATGATGACCCATTGTACAAAATGGTATTCAACCATTACCTGAGATATTTATTAATTTATGGCAATTCCCCTGTAGAATTTTACATAGAGGGAACAAGAAGTCGATCAGGAAAGACATTACCGCCAAAATACGGTATTAAATTGCATATGAAATGTATCGGATGGAATGTAAAAGGTCTGCCTTTCAGGGCTACTTTCAACTGTCGTTGATTCTTATTTGAGAAACGAAGTTGTTGATGTCAGTATTGTACCGGCAGCGTTAGTTTATGATAAAATTATGGAAGAAGTTTTATTTGCTCATGAACACCTTGGAGTACCCAAACCGAAAGAGTCAACAATGGTATGCATCGAATTACTTTGTTTTTAAATTAATTTACAATCATATTATTTCAAAATTTAGAAACTGATTAAGAGCCTTCGCAGTATGAATCAAAAATATGGAAATGTCTATGTTTCTTTTGGCAATCCGATATCACTAAGATCGTTTGTTAAAAACAATATGGACAGAGAAAACAAAAATAATCCAAAAGCTATAATGGAAGGCCTTACTAACCTAGGAATTTCTATAATCAAAAGGTAAAATTTAAAACTTTCAAATTTATTGTTGTTTGACTATATCGGAGTTGTTTACTTATTTGTACACTTAGTACTTTCAGTAAACTAAGTCACATGTTATTGCATAAGTTGATTTTTTTACAGACAAAAGGAGCTTTCTGTTGTAACTGTGTTCAATGTCGTTTCAATTGCTGTTGCAAATATCATTATAAAATCAGACCAATACGCTACAGAGTTAGAAACCATTTGCCATCATGTAAATGACGTAACGACCATCCTTAAAGAAGCTGGAGCTACATTATTTATTCAAGGTACATGCATTAGTTTGTTACAACTCTCATGTTTCATGTGTTTTTGTTTTTCAGATGGTTTAAATTTAGCGGATGCAGTAACAGAGTCAGTGAAAAATCACAATAACCTTGTCACAATAAGTAAACATGGTCTTGTCCACTTTAAACGTATCTATGAAAATGTATCTCTTAAAAGCCAAGGTATACGAAATACACTTTTAACGATACATTCTCAATTATATAATATTGATCTATTTGTTTATATTTTAAGGGAAATCTGATTATTTTATGGAAAGAGGTCTTATGCAAACAGCCATACCGCGCATCATGTTACAACTGTACATTAATCCTTCGATGACTTATTTTTCAAATCCAGCATTGTTATTGGCCATTTTGCAGTCCAAAGAACAGGAACTTGACATAGGTAAAGGCTTTCATGTCTTTTTTTGATAATATACAGCTAGTTGAACTTTGCCATCAATTTGGCTTCCCTATTCACTATCCAGCTTATCCAAAGGTTGACATCACTACCCTCATTATCCACAACATCAACATTCTTTTTGTCTACGAAATGATCCGATCCTGCTTTCAAAAGTTCCACAAGCTTTTGATTCCAACGAACCCTACACAGTAACCCCACCATCCAACCAAATCCTATGCCTTCGGTTCTGCTTGAACATAAATGAAACACCAGTCTAAACAAATGAGACCTCAACAAAAATATGGAAAATTGAGAAGCTATATTTGACTAACAATTTTTTTGCGGTTCATTGTACTTTTTTGGTGGAACTCTTTCATCAAAGGTTAATATCAACGAAGCCTTTAGGCAGGATATTCAACCTTTGATGCATTTAGAATTGCAGAGTCAAGCACTTGGCCAAACCTTCCAACATCAAATGACCAAAATACTCAACAAGAGCTTCTATTTTAAGTAATCAAACTATCCATAAAGACCTAAATATCTCACTGTCCTTCCACACCAGCACCGTGTCCTTCAAACTGCCTAAGAAGACACTGGCCTTGTGACCTCCTAACATAACCCTATTATTCTTCAAAGTACTGAGAAATCTGGGGGAACTGCAATGACCGATTGGTTAGGGCTTCTGACTTGTATTGCCATGTTAGCAGTTCTGGGTTCGAATCTCAGCATAGCCCTTGCAATTTTATTTGAGATTAGTTTGGAATAATTATTATAAAGTTATTCTATCCCCTCATCACCATCAACGGACAGTTGGACATTGTTAAGCAATCTTGTATAATACTTCGCCATCTTCAGTAAGTCTGTGTAATTTCTGTCTAGTCTTTTCAAAGATCACAAAAGCTGGGGTGTAATATTTGCTTTCTATTATTTATTCCTTTGCTTATTGAACTTAAAAATTATAATTTTATTTGTTAATTTGTTATTCAATACTTTGGAATTATGTAATTATTTTAATCTTTTAATAGCTATAATTAAGGCAATAGTAATTTACATTAAAAAATCATGCCTTGCATTTGCATATTTTCTTTGCTTCATGGAATAGCAAGGAATCAGGCTAGGTTAGGGTTAGTGTTTGGAACTATTTAGGTAAGGTAGGGTTAGGGTTAGGGACATATTAAGTAAGGTAGCATTAGGGTTAGAGACATTCAGGTTTAGGTGGTGTTAGGGGCAGTTTGGGTTAGATGAAATAGGGTTATGGATAGGTATTTATTCAGAAATTGTGAGATGCGGTCTAGTGTGATGTAGGTTTTAGAAAAACATTTTCTTTATCGTGCCAACATTTCGATCTTTATTGAGATCATCTTCAGGGCCTGGGATTTAGAAACATTGTTTAAATTTAACAAATACATGTAGGATATGGAAAAAAGTGAATTTATACAATGCAAAAAAATATTTTTTATATTCAATCAAAGTATTTCTACTCACTCAAAGTGTTTGTTTTCTGCGTAATTGTGACATTCTTGCGTGTCGTCTGAGTGCCAGTTAGATATTGTTGTTTTATGTTTATATACGTTGGATTTTGAAGGGGTGGGGAAGGAAGTCGATATAGAAAGACATTTTTGTATAAGGAGTCAGCTTCTTTGAGGTGAAAAGAGCTGACGATGGGAAAAAACGTTGGTAATAGTTCGGCCAGATTATCCTTTCAGGATTATATAGACGGGGATAAATAGGAAAAGGAAAGCTAAATTGTTGAAAAAATAGACTATGTAAAATTGTTTGATGTGTGGAATGTGATGAATGTTTTATATGTTATAATATTGTTGTTTTGTGTGATGTGATGATATATGTATGTTGTCTATATTGAATTTGATTAATGATATTGGCGTAGCTGCGACTGAGTTTACATGTGTCTGTTCTGTAATTGATGCTGTGTTTATCTCTGTTGATGTAAACCATCTAAAAAGTTACATTTATGNGTGGGATTTAAAGTTGAGGTAGCAATCTGTGTTTCTTGGTTTTTGATACAATCTGTGATTAATGTGCCATCTGGTTGTTTTATTACGAGTGTATCTAAAAATGGTATTTGTTTTGTTGTTTTCGATTTCATGTGTAAATTGTATGAAAGGTGAGGTAGTGTTTGGGACAAATTAGGTTAAATAAGGTAGGATTGGGGACAGTTTTGATTAGATAAAGTAGGGTTATGGATAGGCTAGGTTAAGGTAAGGTAGGGTTAGTGTTAAGGAAAAATTAGGTAATGTATGGTTAGGGTTAGGGACAGTTTTGGGAATTCGATTTTATTGTCAATTTTTTTTTATTACACATCATAAGTGCTTCATACATTTCTTACTAAGACTGTATTAGAAGGTTTTGTATTTATATTGTTTTAAAAGATGATGATGAAATAAATTTAGACTTCCTCTTATCTTCCTTATCCTGCATCATTTTTTTCATCTTTCATGTTAAACATGAATTTGTTTGTTAAATGTTTTAAGTTAATATTTATTTTGAAAAAAGTCTTAATTTTGTTTATGAGTTGTGTTATGCATATATACTTGTGTAAGATCAAATATAACCCTTTTATTGAGCCGGTAAGGAATTTATCTGACAATTTTCAAGTGTAAAAAGCTTCCAAAACATGTTTGTGTACCTAATACAGAGGGCAATCCTTCAAAACAATCATAAAATAATTTACAAGTATTTTAAAACCCTTATCTTGTAGATTAAGGCAAAACGGTATTGCAAAGATTAGATTATAAATTAAAAACATGCGAATGTCCAATCGAAAATAAAAACAATATACAAATATTGCTTGTGGGCAAACTTTATGCGGAAGAATGAGGTATCTAAAGAAATACTATTATAAATCAACAAGTGTTTATAGAAACAAGGCAGTCCTAAGCCCCTGGAAACTGCTCTCTCGCGATACTTTTAAACATTTCAACGATATGCTGAGTAATTGTAAACCAGGGGCACAACTCCTTAAACTGGAGCATTGATTCAATTAAGTCATTTTTCCCATATAAGACTATCTATTGAGGGAAATAGTGAGAGAAACAGAGATCCACAATATTGTTTTAACTACTTTACTTTTTCAGCGTTTTAACTGTACATAGATGATGCAGGATGAAATGAAATAGCCTATCAGTTATCTTCAGACCTGGATCCATCAGTGAAAATTCTGCTCCGAAATATACAGATCAGAACTTGATGAATTCACCCTTAAAATTCTTTCATTTATTTGAATTCAAAAACATTCCCTTAACTTAGATTAGAACTTAGGTTAGATTAAGTTATGTAAGTTAAAATAGGGTTAGGGTTTAAGACAGTTTAGGTTAGTCGCTGGGTCTAAGAAAGTGAAATTAAAACCATTTGTAAACTTGTTTTTAACTGTTTTTGCCCTTTATTTACCACTTTTCAAGTTTTGCTAATACATGTACTTATGTATGTGTTATTTGTAAACTAATACACCCGGTACTTTCAAGATTTAATAATATTTCTATTGATTTCAGTTCATTTAAAAAATGAGTTTGTATTATTCAATACTACATTCAAAAGAGAATTTGTTAATAGTGATACTTCAGTCGATCGGGTAAAACATTAATGATTAAATACTGTTTTTTTTGTTTAATTATAAGTCTTATTTATTTTTTCCAGATATATAATGATGCTTTGGATATGCTGGAAAGACTTAATTGTATCGTTGTCAATGGACCAAAAGTTTTCATCAATAGAAATACAAACGATTATGTGGAGATATTGTTGAATGCATTAGCACCATTCTTAGCTGGATATATTTATGTAATACATGTATTACTTGAGGTATGTGATTTTTTTTTTTGGGGGGGGGGTCAAGTAAGAATACTTTTATCACTGCATCCTATCTGTTGTGGTATATTATGACTATACTGTGGAAAGTGTGCTTTTTCCTTACCAAACTAAGCACTTTCAACAGTACTTCTTTTTGCACTTTTCTTCCTTATAACTGTGCTTTTGTCATGTGCTTGAGTTTTCCCTTTCTTAGTCTATTTTTACCTCTTTTCTCCGTTGTCTTTTGTTCATAGCCATATAGGTATGTGTTATTCTTTATGCTTTTATGGGGGGTTTTTAGATCTAAAAAATTATGTATCACATGGTAATTATTAATGCATTAACACTGGATACAAGATTCTTTGTGTGTGGTCATTTTCGCATTGCTAGGGAATGTGCATGGGTTGAGTCAGGTTAGATTAGGCAGGGTTATGGTTAGGGATAGGGATAGGTTAGATTAGATTAGAAGTTAGGTTTATTTTAGTACGGATCTGTATGTATGTGTATATATGTAAGTATATAATATTGATATATTAGGCTTGATACTCAAATTTTTTGTGTGACCATTTTTGCGTTACTGGGGAGAGTGAATTGGGTGAGTTAGATTAAGTAGGGTTAGGGACAGGTTAGGCTAGGTTGTATTATGCTATGGGTATTAGTACAGGTTGTGTTGGTTTTATATAAATCTACGGGTTTCTCAGATCTTAACTATTATGTTAAGATTATAGAATCTTATAATTAATTAATAATTAATTAATTTAATTTTTTTAGAGCAAACGAAAATGTCAATTTTAAACATGCATGTCATGTTGTGTTATGGTTATGGTTATTATTGGAGGTATCTGTTTTTTTTGGGTTAGGTGAGGTTAAGTTACATTAGATATGGTTAGGTTAAGTTAATATTTAGGGTTGGGCTAGGTTATATATATCCATGATTCAATGTTTCTTTTTTGAATCTGAGAAAATATGCGAGTACAAGGAGCTTGTTTCTAAGGTTTTTATTTCTTTTTTTTTATTACATATATCTTGATTGTACTGTTGTTAATTTATGATCATCTGCATGTTATAAAAAAAGTTTAATGAATATAAAAAATTATGGAATATATATTTGATTTGTTTGGTACTCAGTATCATATGTTTGACAGGTTTCAGCTTCTTTGAATAGTTTTTCCAATGTCGCTTTTATGTGTCGGTGCACTTTTAATTTAAAATAGAGACAAGTTTAGTACCAATAAAGAATTTTTTTTTATTTTATTAGAACTAGGCTTCACATAATTTTCATTGTGCAAATCTAATAATGTTTAATATCTCTCATATGTCTTCATTGTTTATTATAACCTCAGCATACTGGGTTAGACAATTTAATGTTTTATCTAATAAAAATAATAATAATTGCTTTGATAGATACCTGAAGATCAACAGTACACAAATGCCGAGCTGCTGAAAAAAGTACAATATTTTATTGTGTCTGTTCATAATGAAGGGAACTTAAAACATCCGTATGCCCTGTCGTTGGACCTTTTAGGAAATGCTTTAGCGACATTTTTGGAACTAGAAGTTTTAATTAAAAGAGGGTACATATATATACAATATATATATACATATATTATTTACAATATAGAATAAGAATATATATAGAAGAAGAAAATATAATTTTTTGTTTTCAATATTTCAGGGGCACACCTATGCAACTAAATGTTAATAAGATTAGAGCTTTAAAACTTGCAAATTCATTGGGTACGTAAATACTCCCTGGCCTTTCCTTCTTTGTTTATTTCCAAGTGAGATGAAATTAATTTTTTTTATATTTAACGAAAAATTTCAGATTCTTTAATGTTGGGCTTTCAACTATTTTCCAACATTAATTTATTAACGTGCAAACTGTGAGTGGAGAGAATATGCTGAAATTCATATTTGTTTTTAAAATTTGTATTACAAAATTTTTCTAATTTAATTGTTATGTAGAAATGTTATATAAAATATAGATCATTAACAACCTTTATCTTCTATTTTTTTCCTTACTAATACCTTAAATCTACTACCCACTACATTGTAATTAACTTTAAAAACAACTTATATTTAAATACTGTCAAACCATTGCCTATATTTAGGATGTTCTAATGTTCTAAAATGTCATTAATAATAAAAAAAAGATTTGTGATTAAATTATATTTATTATTTCACCTTCCTGCAGGTAAGCATCAAACTATATCTGGTACTATCAATTTTTAAACAAATATATACTTAAATAACATAATACATAAATACTAATACTCAGGTGAGTGAATTGGTAGTATTAATTGCATGAACTTTGTGAAACGTCACCGTATTGGGCTAACGAAAGTCCAAATTTTTGCAGTGAAGCTTCAAGTTTCTGTTGAGTGTCTAGTGAGAATTGTGGCTCTCTACTTTTGGTCAAAATCCAAGATGACTCTGTAACCAAAAATTAATACTCTTTAAAAAAAAAAGAAAAAAGGAAAAAAAGAGCCATTGTACTGACATACAAAACAGGCCTTAAGAAGAAGAAAAAAAAACTGAAAATCATTTGAAACTTCGAAGATTATGCAGGGTTCCAGGTTCAATTATTTTGTCATATCCATCAGGTCAGTTTTTTTTTCTTTTTTGAAATTGGTAAAAGTGGCAGAAGACCTTAGGATGCTGTGAGTTTCCCTGGTGTTTAGTATAAGTAAATTTGGTGAAATTTTCTTCTTGCCACCCTTTGAGAAAGCAATATCTTGGAAGTCACACTGACTCAAAGCACAAAAAGTTGCTCAATTCAGAAGCAGGAAATTTTCATTTGGGAAACTGGTCATCGATGATGACCAAATTCAAGCTTTTGTCACCGATCAACTCTTAACATATCTTGTATGTTTCAAGGCAATAGCTGAATATGTTTGAGAGATTGAAGTTGACAGAGAAGAATTTAAAGAATTTATTGCACCGCATCTCCAGTTGAAAAAAAAAGAAAAAGACAATTTTTCCTTTACAAGAATATTCTTAAAAGAAAATCCTGGAGAAACGCAACAAATCAAAAAGCCAAATGTCATCTCAAGTATGTTGTGCATTTGCTAGGAAAGCTTTATTACAAGCTTTTTTAGCCCAACCGAACAACTAATTCTAGTATAACCTGGTGCATATAACATATTTTAACATACAGGAACAGATCTCCTTTGAATCGTGCATACTTGCATTGCACATAGAATGTTAATAGGTCATATGAACATGAAGAATATTTGCACAGAGACAGGCAGGAAAAAGGATTTTTTCCAAGTTTGTTGTACTTTTGTGGTGGAATTCCATTATCAAAGGCTGAAGCCTCTAGCTTTAATTGGAACTGAAGACTTATTGATATTCAACCTTTGAGGTGTAAAAAGGGTTCAAAGTCCAAATAAGTTGTGATTACATTGTCATTTTTGGCATCATCAGCAAGAGATGAAAGCTTTCAGTTGGCTTTTGTGTTAAATCTTGTATTCAATTATGGTTCTCCAAATCTGCACCCTTGAGGAAAACTGGATAAATGAGATAAGTGCAAAAACCAAGCCTTCAGTCGAAACCACTTCATTTTAAGCAAAATATGCCTTTTTTAGAAACCTCTAAACATTTTGATAATGCTTTTTGCTTGCTCAAAGAGTGGATAATACACACATAAAATTAAAACGTAGACCATTTTACCTGATGTTTTGAAAAGGCCATCTTTACATGACCAAAGGACGGCATAATTGCTGTAGTCTGCATCAAGTAATGTAAAAGTCACGTCAGAAGAAAACCAGCCTGCATTAAAATATAAAAGTTATTAAAATTAATAATATAAATTTACATGAATTTTACTATTTTACCATTTGATTTAAGAGTGAAGGTAGACGTGGAAATGACATTGATTAAATTTTTTGATGAAAAATGTATAGGTAACCTGAAAATTTAGTTTGTAAATGTATTCTTTGTACTAATAATAATATAAAAAATATATTTACAGTCGTGTCATGTATGAGTGCTCCCTGTAAGATGATGAATCATCCTTGGTGACATAAACATCCTTCAAACATCTTGAAAACGTTCTGTGGAATCCGTCTCCGAATGACTTGTACTGGTACCATTCACCTTTAAACTGTATTTAAAATGTGTGTAGAAATGAATGATCAAGTTTTAACGGTTTATTAAATAAAGTGTTTTTTTGCCTGATGAAAGCAGACAACGGATGGCAACCCAAATCTAGAGGCTGCCTTACAAAATAGGAAAAAATATATAAAAAATTAAGTTACTCTACAACATTTAAAAATATGCGATTTTGAGTTGTAAGGAGAAGAATCAAAGAGTTTAAAGATGGAATAGGTTGATGGTCGGTGCATAGAGTGAGAAGCGGATGCCACAGTTTAATGTCCAACTTCCCGTTTGGTCTTGGATGAGGGGTCAAACCATTTTATACTACTTTTTTCATTTTGTTCTTAATTAAAAAGCCATGGGTTGGAATTTGAACCAAGAACCAGTGTAAAAAATACAAGTTGTACATATTAACCACTCAGCCACTGTGGTCCATGGTAGGCAGTTTGCATATGAAACAATGAAAAATTAAAAAAGGATAATTAAGATCCTTCAGTGTCAAGTTGTAAGGATAATCAAAGAGATTTGGTGGAAGAGTGAGCAAGGGGATTCCTTAGGTCAGAGTCAATGATAAGGAAAGCACTGAAAGCTATAGGCAGCAGAAGAAACAAAATTTGTTAAACTAGACATTTATGCGTACTAAAGGGGAGAAGGCAGCTGAACTGATGGAGGGTGAGAAAGCAGCAGCGGGAAATCTTGAAAATACGGGGCAAGGATTCCCAAGGTGACGTTTGGACAGAAGGAAATAATGTGAACGTTAATGGTAAAAGTCATTGATTGGGCACATGGGACCATACCAAGGGCTACTTAAGTTGTCTTGAATTGTAATATTATGTTTAATATTATATGCTTCTTTGGATGGCAATATACAGACCGAAATAAAAAATATTATTAAATAATTAGATGGATATGATCTGTTAGCTTGTACTTACAAGGCCCCAATCGATTGCTGCGGCTGGTTTCTTTTGGCTACATTTTGCTGCATGAACTGAGCTCAAAAGGCAGAACACAGTTAAAACTAGTACAATTCCTTTGAACTAGAAACAAATTAATTAAAAAATTAAATTGAAAAGAAAGAAATATAAATTTTAAAAAAAACTTACATCCATGTTGAGAAGACTTTCTTGGATAAATCTACTGGTTGTTAATTGTTAAGAAGACTTATAATAATTAACCACGTCGTCAAGATACAATTTTTGTCAGTTTAAATATCTAATCGAATGCCAGGTAAATTCAATAGCATTATCTCATGTTTGTTCAACGATGAAGCGTTTTTATTTCTTATTTTTTAATAATAAGGTAATAAGTAAAGTAATCAATTGAACACGTCATTTCAAGTTTATCATTTTTGTCCTTCAGTCAATATTCATAATCCATTTTTAACTTAAAAATTCTTAATACTATTAAATATGTCAATTAATTACGAATACAAGATAAAAAACATTTTATAAGTATCTCTTAATAATGATGATATCATTATGTAAATATCAAAGATGATGTAATATTTTATCTATTCTTCTGTAATCTATCTATTAAGGCATCTTTAAACTTTCAGTATTGAATTTGATTAAATTTTTTGCAATCTTTAAATGTGGCATTAAAATTCTTGGGTGTATCACGTCTTTTTAACTGTACAGTGCAAGAATTGACAGATTATATTCATCATTCTGAACAAGAGATGAGAGATTATTTATTTTCTCTGATAAATATACCCAATTTTTGAATTTCTGGAAGGCTCAAATTTTGACTCTTACTTTGAATCTGCCTTCTCTCTGATTCTTCACTACTCACACTAGACTCTAGACTTTAAACTACCCTATTACTAACCTAATCTTGAGTTGTGATCCAGGCCTGTCTTAACGATGATTAGGACCCTCGGATAGTGAGGCCTTGGAGGGCATCTGGGTGTCCTTTGTCGGTGCAAAGACCTATTCACGATGAAATTCCTACTCCATTCAGAGAGCCGAGCAGAAGAATAAACACCATAGCTCTTAACAAAGCTTTGGGATCTGATAAAAAAAAAAAGCCTTGATTTAACAATAAACGCTAAATAATAATGGAGAGTGCAGAATAGGCCAATATTGGTCGCAGTGTACAATGTCGACACATAGGCCCCCATAGAATCTAAACCGAAGAAGTATCAAAACCCTAGCATGGGGGTCTGTTCTGCTGAAGCTGTGTATGCAACCTGGGAAGGTATTGAATCCCTGGCCCTTGCTGACAAGGCAGTTATGAACCTAGGGTGGTGTTGGAACCCTGAACCCTGCTTATGAGGTTGTGAATGCAAATTGGAATGGTGTTGGATCCATAGTCCTTGCCTACTAGGCTGAGTATGCAATATGGGATAGTGCTGGTATTGGATCCCTAGTATTTGCTGACTATGCTCTGTGTATGACCTGGGATGATGATGGATCCCTTTCCTTGCTTACGATACTGAGTATATGACCTGGGATGGTGTTGGATCCCTAATCCTTGCTGACAAGACATGCACGTGACCTGGCTTGGCGTGGACCACAGTTCATTGCTGATGAGGCTGTGCATTGATCTGCCTCGAGTGCAGTGTAACACATTTATAGTTATAAATTTACTCTCATAAAACAAATTGTGAATACACCTATCACCAACCCTTTTCACATACAATGGTAAAATTAACTGCAGTAAAAGAAATCTATAATTGCAAATCACCTCTATTTCCTCCAAAAATCTAAACAGCGGATCAAGATTCACTGATGATGATTTACTGGAGCACAATTCTCATATCGAGTGGCTCTCTATAAAGAGCCAAGGAGTGTCACCCTTCAATTAAGTGGTAATCAACTGCTGATTCTGAGTAGGGTTTTGATACTTCTTCGGTTTAGATTCTCTGGGGGCCTATGTGTCGACATTGTACACTTCGACCAATATTGGCCTATTCTGCACTCTCCGTTATTATTTAGCGTTTATTGTTAAATCGAGGCTTTTTTTTTTTTTTATCAGATCCCAAAGCTTTGTTAAGAGCTATGGTGTTTATTCTTCTGCTCGGCTCTCTGAATGGAATAGGAATCTCATCGTGAATAGGTCTTTGCACCGACAAAGGACACATTCTATTGTTTCTTCTTCTTCCTGGCAATATCTAGCTTGCATCTCCGAAATCCGCAGTGTTCTAGTCCTAACAAGTCTTAGGTTTAGTAGTTCTGCCCTCAAATATAAACCCTTGAACTGAGGACTTATTCTTAATCTGTTGTTTGAAGGATCACCATTTCTGACAATTTAGTGTGCCAGAAAAGGGTACAGGATAGGTGACCTCATTGAACTTGCTTTGGCAAATTGATCAGCATCCTCATTGCCTTGGTCTTTAACATATGATAGGACTTTGATACAATCTCAAACAGCTCTGGACTTTATACTGATGAGGGCAGTTACCTTTAGACCTGGCTGCTCGAGCGTACTATTACTTTTCCCGGGTATAGTGTTTAATACCCAGTTTCCACCTGAAATACAGTCACATATTACCCAAGGCATTCATTTTCAGGGATTTCAGCTCCAGACATGTTCAGTTTTAGAGCCATGGGTATATCAGATTGTTGGCATCCTTTCTCCGAATCTCCTCTATCGGGTATTTCAATTTGAAATTTCTAGCCTTCAAGCGTCAACAAGAATCCCTCGAACCTTGTGTGCCATTTAATGATGATGATGGAAATCTAAGAAATGTTCTCTGAGCATTGTACTTTTCCTAGTTCAGTTCAATTGACTTGATCTTTCTCTTAAGACTTTGGTCATTGAATGCTCTTGCTACAATTTCTTTCTTTGGCTCTTTTTGTATCCCAGGTTACATCCCCATTAAATGTTGATTCGGTTCATGACAGGTGGCTGTTTCTTCCTCCTCCTTGCATAACCTACAAAGTCAGGTAGTTCCCTTTAGTGCCTTGCAGATAGATCCAGGAGTCCTAGGGCAGCAATGGCGGTCATTCCAGGATCCTGACCACCCTCAGCTGTTTATAACTGTGGTACACCAATCATGGACTATAAAGGAATGAAAATAGCCCTATTTAACAATGAGACAAAATTTTTCATGAAAATTCCTTTCAACTCACAAACCTGGAGTGTGGTCTGACTACAGACTGCTAAAACTTGAAGTAGATGGTTCTTGCATCTACTCTGTGGAGTTGAATTTATATAAATTAATCAGTCAATATAAAATCTTACCATTTGCTGCTGTTTAGGAAATTTTATGGTAAATGGTAAATGAAAAGCCATAATTCTACTAATGTAATCAATTTATTTTCAAAACTTTTAGATTGTGCAATTAAATAAAAAAATCGTTGTCTCTATATTAATAAGGGTCTAATTTATTTATACCTAATCATATGTTCTATCACGTTGGTTTTTGTAAATTTGTTTTGTTTCTCAATTTTCTAAGTTTTAAATGCTTATAACATTAGACTAGAAAGTTCAGAAGTTGTTTTTTTTTTCTTAAAGAACATTGCAAGCTTTTGCTGTACAAACATAATTGTTTTATTTTTATATTTCATTATTGTTATTATTTAAGCACAAATCTAAAAAACATGTTATATCTAACTTGAATAAAAATTGGCGTGCAACTTTTCTCACAATAATTAATACATTATATATATAAGGACTAGCACAAAATCTTTGAAAATTTTATATACAGTAAATATATATAAAATATTTACAATTAAAAATTATCATAAAATGACCATCGCAAAGAATCTTCTTTACCAATGTATCAAAATTTTTATCACCTACTTATAATATTGGCGGTATGTTCGTTGAGAACTATAATCACAATAAAACCCTATTTTTTATGGCTTTTAGCCGAATGATATTGAATTAGTAAATTGCAGGGCTTTTTTTTTAAATAAAATAATAGTGAAAATAAATGCTAACCAGCCAGTAGTGAATCCTCAATACATTTGGTATGTTTTCCTTATAAACTATACATTTTTTTAATTTCACACATTTCTAAACTAAAATAGAAAAAACCATTAATAATAGATATTGCATAATTTAAATCTACTAATTTAAAACACGTCAGGCTTAGGGTCTATACAATAAGTTAAGACGTTACTCACTATGTTGTGCTTGCTTTTTAAGTACTGCTTGTAAAAAAATTCTATTTTAAAAAACTAAATTCTATCAGCATACTTGTTTACATTTATAAGAACTGCTTCATACATATTTAAATATTTAAAAATTTGCCCAAGATTAAAAAAGTTTATAAGAAGACTAAAAAAAAGTAAATCTTTTATGTCGACGTTCTAGCTTTTTAAAGTTTCAATGGATTTATGAGTCTCTTAAAATTAAAAAAAAAAAAAGACAACTCAAATGTGGTCAGAAGTGAGATTACATACATTAATGTACAAATCATTGAGTTTTTAAAGCTAATAATCCTAAGGGGGAAGCTTTTTTTAAGCTATAATTTTATATTAAATTCATTGAAAAATCTTATTTACAGTTTTTTTTTACTTTAAGAGATTTAAAATGTTTGGCAGGATAAAGCTTTGGTTTCCATTCCTTACTGAATAAAACAAACTACAATTTCCAGCACCTTAACCTGTTTATAGGATTTTTTGATCTGTAAATTGTATTATGTTTATATATTTATTTTTAAAAAATAAAAGATATGCTTTAATTGCTGATGAATGCTTTGTAAAATTTGGTCGTTTCTGATCATCCCGGTCTGCCTAGTAGCAGTGAGTTTTTCAGTACCATTTACTGGAATTTACAGGTATAAGTCTTTTTAATTGAATTTAATATTTAGATAATTTCATTTTTATTTGTTATAAGCAAAAGGCAGACTGTGATCACTGGAAATGACCGAACTATGTTCACCTTACCTTCTAAAAAAAATCTCACAAGATATTCCGTATTATAAGACTTGAGAAATGTTATAATAATAAATATGTTTAAAAAAATCAAACTGTTTGAAATAGAAACTATAAAACAAAAACAAATATTGGTAAATACATATAATAGACAGTATACATACTGTTTCTCCTAATCTTAACATTTGGTATACACACAAAAAAAAAAATAAATAAATAAAATAAAAAATCAGAACAATGACATGTTATTAAGTGTCCTTTTGGATCACAGCCTTCAGAAAGTGCAAAAAGGCCTTCTAAAAGTGTCATTTATTTTAGAAAAAAATCCCTAATACTTAAGAATAGAATACAATCATATTGTTACAAGTTTAGAAATATACTAGGACATAACTAAATCGTTAGTGTGTACTTTATGATTGTACTTCCTTCCTCGTGATGTCGACCCCCGACCGCCTGACGTGTTGTGACTGTAGCCTGAATCGGAATCGTGACTGGGTCGAAATGTCGTAAAATCCGTTTGCCTGGGTTGATGGTGGTATTGGAGGACTGTGTCGTAATGGGGATGAGGAACAGGAAGAATGTACGGCAGTTTATGGTGAGAAGTCGGTATTGGGCCCTTCGGGTAGAGCTGTAAGAGCGCGTCGAGAAGGAGACCTTCGTGGAATTCGGCGCACTCCGTCACCTTGTTCCTTCCAGCTCTCCTTCTTTCTAAACTCCTCGGTCTCCTCTCACCGTAACATCGAGCGCGACTTCCGGGGGGTAGGGAAAAATTTCTTGAACCTAAAAATCTAACTCTATCATCAGGGTCAGAGCTATCAATATCCCTAGAAAGGTCGTTTCCAGTTGATCCTTGTAAGGAACTTGTCCCAGAGTGATGATTAGGCATCGGCACACCGGCAAGACTAAGCTCATCTTCAGCAAATTCATCTTCACTACCAATCCCTTGTCTGCCACACTCACTATCACCTTCTGATTCTCCTCGGCCACCAGAACCTTTAACGTTAAAATTGTTGTTTATATATTAATAGTAAAAAAGAAATTGTGCAATTAATCATCAGACATTGATCAATAATAATAAGTATGCTTTAAAAATATTTCAATGATTAATTTTCATCTTACCATTAGATAGTTCTTCATACACAGGATTGTAAAGATCTTGTGAGCAATATTGATGATGTGGCAAAGTTCTTGGTGGTGGAGGGCAAATAAATACAGGAGAATGAGAAATCACAGGATAACTTGGAGGGGCGAAGCCAACTTCAGATCGCCCCTTCACATCTAACATCTGAAAAACGAGAATAAATTATATATATAAGAAATAGAAAGAATTATAAAATTAGATGTAATTTCTGTAAAAACTACTTTTTTCATACTATTCTCAATAAAAAAGACATGGATTCGAATCCAGAAACTCTACCTTGGTAAATACAGATTGTCTTAAGAGAAAATTTAAACTTAATAAGTTTTCTTTCCAAAACATTTAAAAATATAACAATATTTTGTATACAATTACCTCGATCGATGGTTGAGGTAGAGGTCGTGGACGAATATTGGTAAGGTCTTCATATATTACTCCGTTTCCATGAGAAATGTCACAATGATTCTGAGGCGAAGACTTGCAAGGTAAGAAGTTTTGCATCTTCTTCTTGTGCCTGTAGAATTTTTTGTTTATAATTCGGACAAATTATACGTCAATAATATGGTGTACATACTTGCAAAGAAAAGCTGTAGCAATTAAGACCATCACTAAACCAAAAAGTGTCGATACAACTATCACAGCAACAGATGGTAGAGCAGGTGAACTATGATACTCTGCATCTATAACCTAAATAAAATATATATATATATTTTTAATCTGCCTGTACATATCAAACAATTACAAATATGTGTGTATAGTTTTTTTTGTTTTTTTTTTAATCTCTGACACAATACTGACATTATGGCCAGCACTGCACACAGAAGACTTTTTTTAATTGTTAGTTATGTTTTAAACATAAGTAATAAATGACTTACAGGCATAGCATTACAAGTTTCCAGATCGAGCGAGCAGTCCGGAAGATCGTGGAGAAATGGGGGACGAGGTGGCGGTGGAAGATGGAAAACTGGCGGTGGTGGTCCTGGACATTCTGGATCACCAAAATCGCTACAGTCCATACTCCAAATCACCGAAACTTCCATTCCTAAAATTTAAAAAAAATTAGTAACTAAGAAAGCTGTCATTTTAAATCTGATAAGTTCGTTGTTGAATAATCCAACAGATTAATAAAAACAGGCATAAATAGTTTTATCGCTTCAGATATTATGGGCTTTACAAGCATTAATTAACACTCTGAATAATTTAATTTAGAAAAACAACTTTTACTTTTATAAGGATGAACATTCTTCAGTTTATTATCACAATTCTTTTCATCACACCAAAAACTAAAGATATAAAAAATCATCAAATATACTTATTTTATAACTGCAAATGCAATTTCTTCAGTTGAAATAGAGACACAATATCCACTGTATTTTTCACAAAGTTTCAAAGTGAATCAAGTGGTGGCAGCTGAAACTTGCTGACATTTCTGTCCACCAGAACTACTGAATAAGTATTTTTATGGAACAGAACGCACTTTAAAAGATAACAGGCCATATTTTCTTGTACTATTTATAATTAGTGTAAAAACCAATTTTTTTTTAACAGTATGAATTGGTCTTTTTAGTTTTGATATTTAATATTTGTGTAATAGGTTGATAAAATTTTTAATTGTACAATTATCTGCTAGTAATAAATAATATAACGATAAAAACGCATAAATAATAATAAAATAAAGCTTGCTTCTTGTACAAAATGATTATTTCTCACCAATGATTGTCACATGAATATGTTTAGATTTTTTACCTAGGATGCTTTCAAAAATTATTTTTGTTGTTTGGGTATATTTTTATTTTTTATTATTGAAACTTTGATAAATTTAAAATTAAATAGGGAATTGTGGTAGCCGAGTTGGGTGTCAGACTCTCAGCTTCTAAATCCCACGGTAATGGGTTCGATTCCCACTGTCGTCATTGAAATATTTGGCCCCTCCCCCTCAATCAAAAAATTCATCAACATACACTGAAGCTAAGGTTAATGCATTAGACTCAATACCATTAATAAATAACATTAAAAAAATTATTGGTTAGTGTTTTTTCTATATTTTAATAACCCCCTTTTTTAGCCAGTCTGCTTCCTCGTTGCCTTTAATACCCTCATGACCTGGGACTCATTTTAGCATTTGGTTATTGGCAGATAACAGCTTTTTAGGATATTGAGACAGTTTCAGGCTAGTTTTGATCTTGTAGGCTTGAAGAGCCTTTAGAGCTATTGTGTTGTCCAGAAAATAATGCAGGTTTTTATATTTTCTTTCAATTACCCCTCTATATAATTAAACTGTTGCATTTGATGGATTATTCTTTTGTACGAATGTCAATACTTTTTATCCTCTCAAACAAAAATATCTGTTTACATTAGTAGCATTTTGTTTTATTTGGAAATAATTCAGTCCATATTAAGATGTCAACGTGTCATTTTTGTGTAATTTCGTTTTACGAGTTTAAACTTAGTCAGAAAAGTGCCCAAACGGCCAGAAACATTAATGACGTCTGGGGCGATGGCAGTGTGAGTGAGAGCACCATTCAGAGATGGTTTAAAAAATTTCAAGAGGGAGACTTTAGCTTTAAAGACAAAGAAGGTCATGGAAGGATTTCTTCCCTAGATGATGTTGTTCTGCAAGCTTTGGTTGGAGAAAATCCCTGAACGACTGTTCGTGAACTTCGCTGACCTCTTTCCCTCATGCATTAAACGACCAAAAAAATCATCATTATGAATTTTGTGCAACACTTCTTTGCCAAAATAGAACCTTTTCTGGATAGAATTGTTACTTATGATAAAAAGCTGATTTTCTACGATAACAGCAGACATTCTAGACAGTGGTTCGACAAAGGAGAAGCAGCACTACGTTTTCCAAAGCCCCCCAACTCATAAAAAGGTGATGATGACTCTTGGTGGGCTTCATTTGGGCTGATTTACAACAGCTTCTTGAAACCTAGCAAAATAATCACTGCCGAAATGCGTTGCTATCAAACTGATGTAATTCACCAGAAATTATCATTATTGAAGTCTTTGGTCAATCGGAAAAGGTCGATTCTGTTACAAGACAGTGCTCAACCTCATGTCTCACATGTGACAACAGGAAAACCGTTGGATCTTGACTATGAGGTTCTACCCCACTCTCCCTATTCACCAGACCTCGGTGGATGGATTACCATTTTTTCAGACACGTGGACAACATTTTACAACATAAAAAATTTATTAATCAAACAGAATTTAGTAATAATAAGGCTCAAAATTCTATTCAGAGGGTATAGAGAAGTGTATTTAAAGTAATGGAGGGTATTTTAATTAATAAAGAATTTTAAAATCATTTAATTGTTTTTATTTTATAACCATAAACCTCCATTATTTTCAGGACAACCCAATATTTGGCTATCTGATATTATTATTGCTGCACACTTGAAATGTTTATTTATTTAATTTCCTCATTTTCTTTGGCTAGCAATTTGGCTAATAAGTTATATGTTTATTACAATTATTATTTCCAATTTTTATGCAAAGAAAAATTAGTATCATGAACAGGATTCGAACCCTAAATTGCTTCACCTACTTGTGCTATCGGGACCTTGATCACCCGAGACATCAACTTCTCCTCTCAATGCTGTTTATATTGCACATATTATATTATATCCCTTTACTGCCAATATTCAAACCTCGTAGCATCATTTAGTTGCATTACAATGTATGATTAGCAACGAGGAATTTTGATGTAAGGTTAATGTCCTTTGATTATAATTATTTAATTAGTTATCTATTTATTATTAATTATTATTTCCAATGTTTCTTCTCAACCTTCTTTGCATAAAAATTGGAAATACACTTTTATTTATGCCATGAAAATGGATTTGGGTCTACATGTTGTTCTGTGGCTACCTTTTTAGCTAGGCTGATTTTCGTTGCCTGAAATTTCCTCAAGACCTGGGACTTATGTTAACTTCAGGCTATTTGTAGACCCTAGATTTGTTTTAAAGATATTCAGGTATTTCCAGACTAATTTTGATTTCATAGGCTTGAAGAGCCTTTAAGCTGATTGTCTATATGATATTATTACTGTTGCACTCTTGAGATATTTATGTATTTAACTTACACCTGTTTCTAGGGCTAGCAATTCGGCTTGAAAATCTAACTTTTATTTATGCCAGGAAAATGGATTTGGGCACATGCGTTTTTCTGTGGACCACTTTAGTCTGCTGCCGTTTTTTTTTCTTTTAAGAAAATTCTGCAGTGCCAGATTAGTTTTGACCTCACAGGCTTTTAAAGAAGTGAAGTTGCTTGGCTACGATTGAATTAGAGGAAAGAATCTGAGTCCCCTGTCCTTTGGATGAAGGGTTGTTTTATTATATATAGTATTGACAGTTTGTGTCCTCAAGTGAATACTGATAGTGACTGTATTTGTAAGAGCGAATGTGTAGTGTGAGGGACAATCCCGGAATATTGAATGCTCCCTCGACCCTCAATTTGGTAAGTTATTAGGTGCAATGTATGTAATGTATTAGATGGTGATGGAGGAATATCATGTACGATGCTACCACCCTATTTGAGTGAATGGTATGTTAATAGGAAAGAATGTATTTAAGAGTGAGTGGGAGTGTGAATGGAAGACTGATCTACACTAGGAGCTCAAATAACCTAGCTGTTGATAGCACCTGAAGTCCAACCGCAGCAGCTGGATGGATAAGTCTGATTCTGACCATGGATTGCCAACACCCTGGATGATTCTCAAGGATTCTCTCAACTCTGTAAATGTGCAGAATTTTTTTAACATAAAGGACCATGAAAACGATATATTTTATCTCGCCAACAAAACTCTCAAGAGTTAGGATAAACAAACTTATCAAACCATTATTAAATAAACTTAAAAAAAACCTTTCATGTGAAAACAGCCCCGAGATAGTCTTTTTGCCTTTAAAAAGATTAAAACTGCTATTTCATCACAAAATCGTGCTTATAAAAAAAATTGTTGTAATTATTTTATACATGTAACCCATAGCTGAGAATTGTTTCTTGAATATAAAGCAATTGAGACAATATATTTTTTTTAAGTGGATCTTTTTTAACTTTGTTCTTTATTGAAAGGGATCTGTGTTTAACTGAAAGATTGAATTATTATAATAGTGTATGCTTCATCTCTTATGTTCATATTTTTTATAACTGAGTGAGCTAATATTGTAATTAACAGTCACATTTATGTGCACATGATTTCACAAAATTTTCTGTCTCCCAGTAAATATCTGTGGATATGTTTGGCACACTAAGGACAAAGTGCATATAACCAATAACAGTCCACCTCTGTAAAGTCAGATTTTTTTAGCTAGCAAGGGAATAATTTATGAATTGCTCCAATGGTTTTGTCACAGGCAAGGTTGATGTGGTGGGTGTTAAGTCAGCTTTGAGTCCAGCTGCATTCCTAACAATTTTATGGAGCTTTCCCATGGTGTAAATTATCATCATGTACTCTATATGACACTTTGGACTTCTTTTAACGAATAATATTGCCAGTTTTCCTTCTTTTAACAAATAATACTGCCTGAGTTTTGTCAATGTTGAGTCTAATTTTCTAATTGTTGAAATATTTAAAATATGTTTTTAGAGTTTGATAAATGATTGGTGGTGCAGTTGATTCTAAATGAAGACATGCAAAAAAGCCATGTCATCAGAGTATGTTAACATGTAGTTCATAAATTTAACTAGCTGGCATTATGATTATTATTAATAATAATAATAACAATAACAACAATAATAATAATAATGCATTATTAATACAAAATGTTTACAAAACAAAACAAAATATATGCCATAACATAAAATAACGGCATGGATAAAAACCGTCTGCTGGAGGTTGAAGCCACAACGATCAAAAAATATATAAATAAAAATAAAATAATAATAATAATAATAATAATAATAATAATACGCCCTTAAAAATTAATAATAATAATAATAATAATAATCATAATACAATGATACTAAATTAAAAAGGAAAAGGACTATTGATCATAAATGAATTCCCTAATTAGATCATGACGATACGACCAAGCCTGTCGTGCGAATCTGATCAATTGCAGACTGTTCCTGCCATTAAGAAATTCTATTATATGGGTTCTGCTGAGCCTGCTGTGACCTGTATGGGGATATTTAAATTCTAAGAGGACGGGACATACACCCAAGAAATGAATCGCATCCTCCCTTTCTCTGAGGTTACAGAGAGCACAGAGGGATAACTCTCGCCTCGCCACAGAGTGTAGTTAAGAAAAAGCAACTCGCCTCTTAATTTAAAAAACCAGCTCAGCTCCGTGGACAAAAGATCTGTATTTCTTGAATTAAGTGACAGCAAGGTAGGGGGGTACTGCAGATCTTTATATAAAAGAAAAAAATTGGAATATCGAGCCGACCACACACACTCTTCCCGGTAACATTCATCCATCCTTTGATGTATGCCCATCAACTGGGCAAACCATTTATCTCGATCTGGAAGTAAGAGTCAAAAGGGCATGAGTACTTTTCTGCCAAATTAACCCAATGCTTGAACCAAAATGTTTTTTTTTCTTGATAACCTCAAAGGCTAGAGGACGAGAAAGGCGGTGAGCAGGAAGATCCAAAGTCTTGATGCAGTATCTAACATGGAGGTAAAAACATGAACCAGAGATGTTGAAGCCTCAATAGAAACCATATAATTTGGTGTTATGAGGAGGAGCCCAAACAACTTCTTGATAAAGAAATGTTGAAATTTTTCCACCAAGTCCTGTCATTAAAACCCCCAACACTGGGTACCATAGCACACAACTGAATGGAAACCACTTTGAATAAGCTATATTTGGTGGAAGGAGGGACTCTACCGTTAATAATGAGGGCCTTCAACGAAAAAACGATTTATCCCAAATTTAGCCTATAATATCCTCTCAGTAAAATGCCGAGTCAAGGACAGACGGGGGGGGGGATACTACTACTACAATACCCAGATATTTGTAATAGTTAACAACTTCAATAGGGTTGCCTTTATATTTCCATTTCTCACCTCCTTTTCTGAACACCATGATCTATGACTTATTTAAATTGACTGTGAGGTTCCATAGATTACAATAACGTTCTACGATATTTATGTTGTTCTGGAGAGTAAGCGGGTCTTCAGCCAGAAGAAGCACATCATCTGCGTACATCAGGACCTTCACAACTGTTCCCGCCACTCTGACACCTCCCTCAAGTGTTGCAGGAAAGTCGTCAAGAAAGAAGAGAGAACCCCTGAACTATCGCTAAAAAATTCAGACACACCCTGGCTGCCCCTTACTGCCGACAAAGGATCACGATAAAGGCTCTTCAATGTATTAATGAATTTAGAAGAAATCCCCAGGTAAAAAGTTTGAGAAATAGAGCATTCCGATCAATTTAGTCAAAAGCTGCTTTGAAGTCGCCAAAAAAACAATAAACTTTCCCTCCCTTGCTGAGAAATTTTAACTTATTAACATTCATTAGAATGAACAAATTATCAAAAGTTGAATAACCTTTACAAAAACCCGACTGGTACTCACTAAGGAAAGCATTGTCTAGTATAAAGGACTCCAGGCGGTGAAGTAGAAGAGCAGTAAAAATCTTTTTCACCGAATTCAAACAAGAGATACCTCTATAGTTGGATGCTTCATTAACATTGCCTTTCTTAAATAAAGGAAGAATAATAGATAAACCAAAAGATAAGGGAGTATTTTCTGAATCGTAAATCTTATTAAATAAATCTAACAACTTAAGACGAAAATTATCTGGGGAAAATTTAAAAAATTCATATCCTATTTGGTCAAAACATGGAGCCTTGTCGTATTTTAATGAATCCAATATTGCATTCAATTCTTTGATTGTAAAAGGAGAGTCAAACTCTGCCGAAAGAATAAAAGGTTCGGCAAAGAGAATGCAAGAAGAAGATGCGACCGAGTTAAGCAAGAACAGAAAGTGAACCACCCAATCTTTTAATGTAATAGAAGAGCCGCAAGAAAAACCCCTACACTTAAGGTGTGATACCAGCATTCAAAATTCTGTATCGTTATTAATTGAATTGAATTGAGCATTAAGGGAAGCAAGATACTCTTTCTTCTTCTTGAGACAAAGACTCTTATATGAAAAGTTAGCTTTTAGGTAAGCCTGCCTTGCCAAAATTGAATCTGTTCTACGAAACAAATTTAACAAGGAAAACACTCTCTTACGGACCTTCAAGCACTGAATGTCAAACCAGGGGGATTTTCGAGTTAAATGTACAACCAATGGTGAGTTCAGAGCACCAGGGCAAGAAGATTCGATCAGCTGGAGTAAACTCTTCAAATAGTCTTCATTATTGGATGGAAAGCCAGGGAGCCTGAGTGCCTTTCTCTAAATTAGACTTGTAGACGTCTGACAGCTTGGAATGGGCTGGTAATATTAATATAGATGTTAAATAATGTGGGGCCAAGAAATGAACCTTGAGCCAGCCGGTTGTTAAATTGTAGATAACAGATTGACTGCTGGAAATGTTGATGAAAAATTTCTGTTATGTAAATAGCTATGGATAAGATACATTAAGTAATTAAGGAAAGTGTGATGGATTAACTTAAAAATTAGACGGTTGTGCCACACACAGTCCAAGGCCTTTTTCACTTCTATTAAAACCAAACTAGTATGTCTTTTCAAGTTAAGTTGTGAGCTATTACATCAGTAAACAAGTGGAATGACATGAACGGAAGCCAAATAGATTGGATATTATATTGTTATAATTTAAATGTAAATTGATTCTTGTGAGAATAAACCTCTCAGCTAATTTTACTAATTTAGCAAAGAGATTGGACGGTAGCTAGTGACCAGAGACACGTCTTTCCAGGTGTAAGCCAGTCCCCATCTTAGTATAAGTTAAAAATAGTTGCTAAAATAAGTAAAAAATAGTTGTAAGGAATGTCAAACATGTATCAGAAGTAGGACTATAATTAATATATTTAGTAAATCTGACGGGTTCCCCACCCCGTAGGGAGAAAATACACATTTCCACACGCGCCTGGCGATCGTTGAATAGGCTGCCCTCTAAATAACGAAAGTCGAAGAGTTATTTAGTGTAGGAAGGTTGACACAGACACAGTTCATCAAGCTGTGGGACACCATAAATTAGGGGTCATCAGCCCCAGGTGGGCGATATACATCTTCACCAGATGTCCAGCGGGACCAGGAGGTTGTGTAATGGAAACTCCCCCAGATTCTATTTGGCCCAATAGTTTTTGCTTTTCCTTTCCTCCCCTATTCTGGTCAGGAAACTGGTATAAAAGAAGATAATTTGGAAAGCAAAGACAGTCAACTCTAGGTCTCATCATCATCTACACTGGATAATTAACTTAATTCAAGTTAAAGTTATTAGAGTGGACTTTTTCAAAATGAGTGGCGCATAGTAACTGTTTCTGACGAATTTATTGGCTAGTCCAATGTGTTTATGAATCACGGGGAAACAGTTTCGTCGATTCTTTGATTGGCCGATCAGAAAAATATAAAATCAAAGAACAAAACGTGTCTAACTGACAAATAAATCTACTTTAAATTAAGTATTAAAGCTTAATTAAATCGGGTGTTCGATGCGTTTATTTAGGAAGGGAAAGTAATACGGTCGAAAAGGTCGGGTTCGACGTACTTAACTCGCATTCCAACTAATTAAGTCTAAATGATTATTTTTTTCTATAACAATTAATTTAAAATAATCTTTATTTTATTTGTTTATGATTAAGTTAAAATGTATTTTATTTTACTTAATAAACTAATATTAATACAACCTAGATGGAAGGAAACTATTCATAAAAGCTGCTCGTATCCTTTTATTGTTACCGCTTTGTTAAATTTATTTTTCAAATTGGAAAAACGTCGCATTATTGTTTTATAAAGAATAAAATGGAAAATATCTCGTTTGTTTGAAATTCTTACCTTTTCTCATGACTGCAGTTTGTTGATAAGCCCGTCGAGGAGAGTCAGAGACATTTCACCGTCTACCATGGGCCCATGTCGACAATTTAAAAAAAAAGAAAAGATTTTAACCGGCCATCCAGACTTTTTTTGCCCTTTACACAAGTTTATCCAACCGGAAGAAGTAAAAAAGGCCCCCCAAACTTTAAAATAAAAACACAAACGGGACTTTGTTTGACTTCATGAAGTGGACGAGAGGTGCAAGACCGAATTCAACGTCACGCATGCGTCAAACGAATAATCACAAAACTGATAACTTTGAACAAAAAAAGGAAAATTTTATTTTTCCACTCAATTTGAAAAAAAATAACAAATATAATTTCCATATATAAATAAATTTCAACTGGATTCATTTTTCCAAGTTTTTAACAAATTTACATAAAACATAAATTTGCCATTCTGGAGGGGGCGCACACAAAAATTTATTTATTACCCTTTACAAACAAAAAAAAAAATAATAATAATAATAATTTAGAGGTATTGTGTTTATAATATGTTTTAAATGCACATTCATCTTGTACAAAAGATAAAATTAAACTTTACAAACAAAAAAAAAAAAAATAATAATAATAATTTAGAGGTATTGTGTTTATAATATGTTTTAAATGCACATTCATCTTGTACAAAAGATAAAATTAAAATATTTAAATATATTATAAAATAAACAAATATCATATCTATGAGTATTTGGTTCAGTTGTTCTATTCCATATTATGTCCTCCTTTATTTTCCATGTACAATAAGATTTGATGCATATGAAAAAATAGGCTTTTTATCACTGCTTTCATTTCAGCATCCTCATCCTTTGAGAATAAATGCTATTGACCTTCTTAGGCGAGTCACGAGCATTCAATTGTGTAGCATGAATCTCCTATGCAGAGTAAAGTGTGTCGTTCCAAACTTAATCCTTCGCTCTTAACTAAAAGTCGATTCTACTGAGTTTTTCATGGGCCAACTACTGTCCTGTGATATGGCAGTGCCAGAGGGCAGTATGCTCAGAACAATCCTGTATCTCCTATACACCTCATATATCCTCTACCTTCCTTGCATCCTTTGCAGATGACACAGACATGCCTGCAATTACTTTGGAGGAGCTCCAGGCACATCATGTTCAATGAATAGCCGAATGGAGAGCTAAGAACAAGCTTTGAAGGATAATTTTTTTTATTTTATTGCCTATTACCATCTGTACAAATTATATAGATTATGTAATGAGATACACAATTATTACATACTTCCAATAAATCCTGAGGGGAGCCAGCAACCAGAGTTACTCGTCAAGATTTCTGAATAGTTAAGTATTATTTGTGAGTTGGGATAGAACCCAAGTTAGCGTATACAGACAATTTTTGGGATAGGATATTGAGGAATATTATACAAAGGGTTTTGCTTCAGAGGGTAAAAGTAATATGGGTGCATTTTCTTTCTTTTAACTTAAGGTGCCAGAATTTGCTCCATTCGCCTACTTGCAGGACATGTGCCTGTAGCTTCCCTGAAGCAATTGCGAGATCAGAATATAAAAAAATAGTACAGCTGTGTCCATTGGAGGAAGCTAGGAGAGTAGGGGGGTATAGTCGGGATATCTGTGGTAAAGATGAGTTACAAGATTAGTCCGAGCACTGCCCAGTAGCACTCTTGCTCCCAGAGGGCAATATTTGGAGTAGTCTGATCCTACGTAAACTCAGAAGAATCATTCGGTTAGGTAGAAGCAAAGTATTAGGTGTAGGGAAGTACTTGTATTAATTTGTACAAGAGATTCCCATGCCACACATGATCAAATGCTTGTGCCAGATGAAGAAAAACCTCCATGTAGTAGTATTCAAAATAAAAATTAACAAACATAAATGCACCCTTAGACATACTCTCTGAAGCACTCTGAATATTTCTCAACAATATTCTTATCCCTAAAACCGTCTGCTTACGCTCCCTTGGGTTCTTTGACCCACGTTTAACCTGGAACTGACACATACAATTAAAAAGACAGGAACTGAGCAAACGCTTTGCAATACTAAACTACTTGGATGCAAATCTAACATGACAAAAATCGCTTGTCTTTTGTAACACCTCACTTCGGGTTAGTACTTGTACATTATGAATTGTTTCTTGCTGAAAACTTACACATTTTAATTAGCAATGGGGAAAAATGAATATTTATGTAATGAAATAATAATAATAAGTAGGGTGTGCAATATTCGCTGATGAGTACAACCTCAGCTGGACTCTTTCGAATGAGGCTAGCATATACACAGTTAAACTTCACGCAAGAAGATCAATTGAAGCAGATTGGAGTTGACACGCACGGGGCTGGACTCCTTATTATGGGATCCCCGAGATGCTGACTAGTAGAGAAGGGCTCCCAAAGAATCTATTAAGGTCAAATAAACAAATTCATTTTTGTATGATCTTTTAATTTTTTTTTAGTTGAAATAATATTTAACTTTTATTTAATCCTTTTGGTTTCTAATTAATTTTGGTGAAGGGTAATTCTAGGCTAGTTTATAGTTTTAAAGGTGTTGGGTTTAGAGTGCTAAATGTATATATTCTTTTGAATAAATTTTTGGGGACAGTATTTATCTTTCATTTTATATTATTTTATTTCCCCAGGATAAATTGGAAATTGTTTTGCTTGGCGCTTTTTTTATTTGGGGACAGATCGATCCACTTAAACGATCCCCCTCTGGCCAATCGGTCCAGATCATCACAAGTATTATAAAGGAATTGCAAGGAATTTGTAATGCCATTATTTGCTCTGGTTTGAAGAGTGGCCTCAAAGCCATCAAAAATAAATTCTCAGTTGACCTATATCTTATAAATTTACAAATACCTCTACGAAATCAAAGCACTTAACAAATAGTAGTCTCTTAACAACCAAGCAAGCTTAGCTACAAATTTAACTTCAGCTCTGCCATTGTAAATTTTTTTATTTCATATCTGAGTAGTCACTCACAAATTGTCAATTTAAACTCCAAAAGATGTGACTTGGCTTTATTAATTCTGGAGTTTCCCAGGGGTCCATCTTAAGTCCACTTATATTTTCCATGTACATCAATGTTATAATTCAGGGAGAGTGTACTATTCTTATAAGTGTTCTCATTAAACTTTCATGTACACATCACTACTAACCAATCTATACAGAACTGAACTGTTTGGTTCAACCAAGCTTTCTATCTTCCAAAAAAAAGTTACTCCAGTCTAAAATCCTCCAAAACATCGCCCAAGCTCCCTACTTCATTCAACTGATCCACACAGATTTTCGGATCCCATTTCTCCTCAAAACCACAAAAAGTCGATACAGACATCTCATCTACACAATTTTACATATAATAAATTACTACATTTTTATTTTACATTACATAATTTTTATTTCATATCTGAGTAGACACTCACAAGTTGTCCGATTCAACTCCAAAAGATCTGACATTGGCTTTATTAATCTGGAGTTTTACAGGAGTACATCTTAGGTCCTCTTCTATTTTGCATGTTCATAAAATGTTATAATTCAGGGAGACTAGTAATTGGATATGTATCCTAATCAAACTTTCTGTAACAATTTATCAGCAGCCTGGAATAATCGAGAGTTAACTATAGACCCGACTCATATTATCTACTGTTTTAGTATTTCTCTATTTTTCAAATGTGTTTGGATCACTCAAACATAGTCACTTAGGAGGTCTAGGAGTCTGCCTTTTAAAAGTCAAATACACCATGTCCAATAGTATACTTCAGCCCTATGCTATTCCTCTCCCAGGATTAGGAATTTCAACCTGCAAGGGAGATATGCTACGCTGTTTTTCTTCTTCCTTGCACTATCAGGCTAGTTTCTGCTGTTCCAAAATCCATGTACGGGTCATTAGTCCTACTATCAGTCTTGTCCTAAAATATCGTAGGCTTAGAAATTCTGTCATTAGTTTCTGACCTAGAATACAAACCCATTGACTTATTCTTAATTCAGTGTTTGATGGATTGAGATTTTTGGCAACTTGGTATGCTAGAAAAGGGTTCCAGATAGGTAGGTGTCCTCATTGAGCTCTCCTTGGCCAATTTATCTGCATCCTTGATGCCTCTCTGCTCTGTGTTTGGTACTTAATATCTGATAGACCTTGATGCAAGTGACTTCTTCATCTTTATTGCATAATCTACAAACAGGTTCATCACTGAATTACGCATGTTGTGTAGATGTTTTTCTGATGCCAGTGACCAGTATAACATTTTTTTGTCATCCCAAGAATAGGTTCACAGCCTATATATGGTATTGCATTTCCTCTGGCAAGTTTGCCTTTTTGTTACCGAAAATTCCTTTGTGTCCTGTTGCTCAAAATATCATGTTGTGTTTTCCTAGGTTTTGGAGATTTTCTATGCATTCACTAACTAATTTTGATCCAATTTTTTACATGTTAATGCTTTAATCTTTTGACTGCCAGAAATACATCTCAAAGCTTGAATTGCTCTTTTTTATGTGAGTAGGTGATTGTAGCCTTTCCCTGGATGAAGAAGTAGGTAGATTCAGGAGGACTTTCAGCCTAGGATAGCCTCTGAGCAGTACCAAGGATCCTGACTACTGGTCTAAACCGCTGTTTATTACCAGGGCAACTTTTGACTGAAATTTTTATTCTCTCAGTGTAGTAATTGTTAATGTTATTGACAAATAAGGGAAACAATTTTGATAAAGGCACCACTTTGTTTTTCTCACAAGTTAACGTTATAAAAAGAATTATAACATGAAAGATCTTTTATTTAACCAAGTACATATGTTAAAATAAATTTTGAATGGAAAAACAAAATACTACATTACAATAAGTTGTATACACGATAAAATTTATGTGCATTAAAGCATGAACTATTTAAAATAACGCTTGTGTAATTGTATTCGCTAATTTATATGTTAATTAAAAAGAAGATTGTTTACAAAAATACATTCACTTATTCATTCTAATAATTTTTCTGCAAAAACTAAGTTTTTTCTTTTTAATCTTAAAAAACAGTAATAAACGTTTTTGTGAGCTGATTCAAAAATATGAAAAAGCATTATATCCAATGTACATTAACAATAAAAGATGGATACATTGTAACAATTCTAGCTGGCGCATCTATGAACAATTCATATAAATAAACTATTTTTTATTTTAACTTAGGACTTTCTAATTATCTAAATTACAATTAGTATTAAAGCATTTGGAAGAACTTACAGACGTATTCTTGTAATAACATCGGTGAACGATAAAGTTTAAATATGGCATTAACATGTGTCATTTCACATAACTTTTTCATAATATCTAATTTGTTATTAATCCCTTATTTTTAAAATCACAAATGTATAGAGTTTTTGTTCTTTGAATACATATACTTTTCTCATTCTATGCTCTAAACGATATAATATTATCTAAAGCAAATTATGAATATTTGTAGCAATATAATGATAAATGCTCATTACTATCACCTTGCCCTTTTTATTATTTACAAGTCAATATTGTCTAACTTCAATTGTTAGCAGCATCTATCCAGCAACCCTCTTTAAAAAAAATTAACATTGTTTACATCACAAAAAATTAATGAAATTAATCTTTAAAAGCAATAAAATTCTATAATTAAATTTTTTTTTTAGTAAATTTCAAAGCCCCCTTTATACCTAGGCAAAAAATTACCACCATTAAAAAAATAAATAATTCTTTACTAAATACATATTAAAATGTTTTGTTTTTGGATCTTTTTTTTTCAATATGAAATTTAACAAATTGTACGATCACTGGTTAAATTAGGACTTGTACAAACGGGATGCTAGAATACTGTCACAAAAGAAATTTATTGATTAAGTAATTGTCGAAAATTTAATTTTTTTTCTTTCTTTCTGAAACAAGGAAGTCCCATTCTATAATGTTATAAAAAATCCTATATACACTTTTAGTTTTAAATAGTAGGCCACAATCACACTGATCTTTTTGAAATATCAGTTTACTAACCGTTAACAGTTGTATAAAAAGTTTAGAAATTTACCTAACAAAAAAAAAATAAATAAATAAAAAAATAAAAAAAACAAGCTAAAAAGCAACGTTCACAAAACCAAAAATAATTTAGTGAAAATGGAAATTTCAAATTTACAATAAACATTTTTTTAATCACTTTTTGCTGTAAAAAATATGACTATAAAAACCTTGTCCTATTATCGATTGGAATATCATTGAAAAGTGTAATGATATGAATGTGTACTAGTCTATAAAAAGGTTATTTTATGTAATATTATATAATAATAATGTTATTATTACAAATATCAACAATTTAACAGTTTTAATGATTATTTTACAGACACTTAGATAATTGAAAGTTATTTATTTTTGATAAAATACAACATATAATTTACATCTAAGAAAGTGGTAAACATTTTTTAAAAATTGTTTTAAGAAGTATTACTATATGAAGCTATGTTATATTCACATACTAAATCAACAAATTACAGACACTACTATCACTTGTTTAACCACCAATTAAATAGGGAAATATTTATTATTAACATGCCATAATTTTCAACTAGATAAATATGATAGTTCTAGGACATTTTTTGTTGGAAATGTGTTTATCACCAAATTTTTAATTAGTGATTGCTGTAAATTATATCGAACATTAGTCAAATTATAAGTCACAATTTATATGACGCCTTTTATTTAGTTATTTATTTTTTTTAATGCCAAAATAGAAAATGCATTAATATTTTGTAAATAATAAATCCAGAATTTGTTACTTATATCACAAATATTACTGGGAACTTTTAGCAGCTTCAATTATTCAAAAAATATTTAAAGTAATATAAGTAATAAAGTACTTTAATAGTTTAAGTAATAAAGATTTTGTTTAATACTGGATTATTGGAATCTATGGCAATGAACTACGGGTATGTATTTTAAAAAATTGTTTTAGAAAAAAATTACGTTTCAACAATTGTCGATAGTTTAAAGACACAAGAACTTCATTAAATTTTGTATTCGCTCTGCCTATGATTTTTATGTAAAATTATCTTTAAAAAATATTTTAAAAAATTCTCGCCATTTGAAATAACCAGATCCGGTTGGTCGGTGCATGGCCCCCTGAACAAAATTTTTTTATTAAAATCCGACACACGAGCACTTTTTTCTCTTACTCCATTCTATCAATGAACCTATAAGCTTATAGGAATTTGAAAAAGTATCCAATAAATTGTATAAAAAATAGTAGAAGAAAAGTTGACAGTTGCAATCTTCTAATGTTCACTTACAAATATCACCTTAAAAGAAAAAAAGAAATTCAAAACATTTTCACGAACATCAGATCCTAAAAGTAGGGTATAATATTTTTTAAAAATGTTTTCAGTTTAGTAAAACAGTATAAGTCAACAAAATTTGTGCCAATAGGCTTAAAGTGATGGCCAATCGACAAGTGCACCATTTTAAAGGATCTTGTATTTACACTAGGAAATCTTGATTAAAATTACTTTTTTATTATTATTATTTTTTAATAGACTGGACAAAAGCTTATTATAAACTAATTGTACTAACTTTTTCCTTAAACATCAATTTTTCATAAATATTTATGTACAGTTTAATAAAAAATATTACATTTATATAAATTGAAAAAACTTCTTTTGTTTCGATTATTAAAAGTATAAGGCTACAAGTTGGAATAATTGCTTAATATTTAAATATACGCAACATTAGTACATAAGGGATCTATTTTTCAAGTCCCAGACTATTTTGTTTTTCTATATAATAACAAATTAGAAACCAAAATATTCTACTTAAATATGACTGTTTTACTGAATCTGATAAACAATAATATGCTCAATACGTAAAAACTATACCTTAGCAATAATTTCAATTTGATATAATGATTCCAGGATATTTACAAGTTTTATATTTTTCTTTATTAAAATTGTTCATTGCATCGGTTATTTTCCTTGTGTACAAAAATAAATTAAGTCTTTTTAGTATTAATTTAATGAGTAAACTATTTAAATAGAAAAAAGTCAAAATTATGCAGCAATAAAACCATTTCCAACAGGTATTTCATATGGTAATCTAATTTTTACTCTAGCACTTTAGAAAATGGAGAATAGTCCCTTTTGCCGATATCAAGTATGTATTAGTTATATATTTTTTCTCTCTTTTCCAAAAGTGAGATATATTTGCTAATACACATTGGAAATAGTTTAGATGCCACATTTATATTTGATCTCAGGTGTTGTGAAATGAAATAATTCAATAAGAATTTGAAGCTTTACATTTCCAACATGTATTCTAACATGCAAAATAATCTCACTCCCATAATTAAGAATAAATTGTATTGATTACAACAGTAATTTAAAAAAGTTGTTTAAATTTGTAGTTTAAATTTCCTATAAAGGCGTCGTGCTATCCCCACTCCTTTAAACAAAAATGAGTTGATTATTCTGATCAGAACTAATTACAAAACAAAAACAAAAAATAGCCTGCTTTTCTAATAGCTTTTTTAAGCAGTGGAAAAATCTATAATGTACTTCTAAAGACCGATATAGAGCTAAATTACATACACTTGCTCCCATAAAATATATTCCCCGTTAATAATCATTCTTCCAACAGCAAAAATCAATATTTCAATTGGATCGAGAGTAATAAAAAGATCATAATTTCCTGATTATTCAAAATAATTTAATTAATTTAGTTTTATTTATTGGAATTAAAAAAACTGATAGTTAAAACAAAATTAAATTTCCATTGATGATAAATTAATAAGAACAATAAACATTAGGTGCCAAATTATAGTGAAGGTGGAGGATTTGTAATATCTAATTTATTTGAGAAGGTCATGAGCACGTTGGTTCGCCACAGCTATCCTTGTTGCATTGGATTCACCCTGGAAAAAAAAATATTTCGATATAAATGGTGTATAAGAAACTGGGAAACTGCATACATACCTTACGGTTAATCCTATCTATTTGTCGATTCTGGTTTTCTAATTCTGAGCCCATGTCAATAGCCATATTGCGAAGGTTACCAATCATTGTATTCACTTGTGACATGTTTTCTTCCATTTCATCTTCTCTGGCATCATTTGTGATTCTAAGAGCACATGGAAAAATTAAGTAACATTTAATTAAGCATAAACAAGTTTAATGTAAAATTTTCATAATATAAAGATCTGTCACATGGTTGTATTTGTGCTGAATACATAAATTGGTTTTGTGTGACCATTTTTGCATTACCAGAGAGTGCACATCCATGGGTTGGGTTAGATTAGGTTAGGTTAGAGAGGGTAAGGAGTAAGGCCTATGACATGTTAGGTTAGGATTATGTTTAGGCTACTAAAAGTCGGTCTCTTTACGAGTTTGTGTACTGTGACCAATATTGGGCTATAGAAATTATTTCAGTAGAAATGATTTTGGGGTGAGTATGGCAATTCACTTTTGGGAAAAGATAGTTCTACTAACAGAAGACAGGCAGCAGCTAAAACAAGCTTTGACTTCCTAAAACTTCTAGTTTATTGTATGTCTTACCTAACATTGGGTGTGCACATCCCTGGGTTGGGTTAGGTTAGGAATGGTTAGGGTTTAACATGTTGTCTATGGTTGTTGACACATAGTTCACATCCCCTCCTTACTTCCTGGTGTGGATGTCGACTTGGCTGTTGTAATTTTAAACTACGAAAATACATTCAGCACAAAGTACACAATACAAGCTGGACAGGCCCCATAGTCAATGTGTTAAGGCAGGTTCAGTTAAGTAGGATTAGGGCTTGGTTTAGGTAGGGGGAGGACAAGGTTAGGTTAGTAATGGTTAGATTAGGTAGGGTATGAATTAGGGTTTTACAGGTTAGGTTAAGTAGGACTAGGGTTATGTTTAGGTGACTAGGAGTCAGCCTCTTAATGATCTTGCGCACCTTGATGAATATTGGTCTATTGTGAGTATTACCAAGCATTATAGGGGAGGGCACATCCATAGGTTGGGTTAGGTTAAGTTAGGTATGATTAGATTAGGTTGGGCTAGGGCCTCTTTATAACCTTTTGCATGATGAACAATATTGGTTTATTGTGCAAAGTATTACTAAGTATTACCAGGGAATGCGCAACCTTGGGTAGGGTTATGTTAGGGATGGAAAGGTTCTAGGGTTAGGGTCAGGTTAGATAGGGCTAAGGTTAAGTTTACGTTACTAGGAGTTGGTCTCTTTACAATCTTGCACAAGATTTTTCCTGTGTACATGAAAATTAGCCAAAACGGTCGACATCCAAGACCAACCCCAAATTTACTACATTTTTGTAAAATTATGTTTTGAATACAGTAGACTTTTTACTCTGATTTTTAATTTTTATTTTCCAGTTAAATTCTGATGGTGTTAATGGTCAGTTATTTTGGCATAGCACAAATCAAACTCTATTGCCTGTAGTTTGGTGGTTCCCGATCATTTTGGATTTCCTGTCCTCGCTGTTTTAGTCAGTCAGATGAGTTTTGGCATCTCACTATCTTCAGTAGTGGGTTTAACCGAAGTTATTAATAAAAACTGAAGTTGAGAAGCTGAAATTCACCTGACAGACCAAAATGGCAAAAATAGGCAGACCAAAATGATGAGAAAGACCTAATGCTTTAAGTATTTTTAGTATTTTAATTTTAAAAATCTGGGACCAGGATGATTAGAAAGACAAGAAAAACACTAAGGCCAGCTCTTTCAAATTGGCCTTATCTCTGATTTTTTAATACAAAATTATAATACTGAATAGAGTGTTTCTAATGGACATACTTAGCAATGTATCCCCCTTGTGGTCCAAGTCCATTTCGGTCATCCATCACTCTTTGTGGTTGGTTGTTCACAACTTTGCCATCATCGTTTCCCCGCCATGTTCCTTCATCTTCTTTGAATGAAGCTCCCCTAAAACAGAAATAACAGTAAAAGTAATAAAACTAATATACAGAAATAAAAGTCAATACAAACATTGGTACATTGCCAATGGCCAAATTTATTGTAATACTTTTAAAATAAATTTGGCAATTTTTAAGGGATGAAGTAACTAGTTCATACATACTTGTTACAAGGTAACACACAAAGCCCACAGCATTTCTCCATGCCAGTCAAATTTTTTTCTGCTTCACGCATATCAGTATTGATTTGGTCCATTCCTTCTTCAATGCGATCCAGTTGCTCTAAAGTAACATTATATAATTATTAAGCTTTATTTAAATTTTTGTAATCATAAAATAAATTTAATGCAGGCATTGTGACTTAAAACAATATTCACATCATGATGATATGGAACTATATTATTGTTATGATAACACTGACAAAGCCTTTTTTTTTAATCAAGATTAAAAATAAACATTTATAGTTAGTTACTAAAGCAAAGTATGCAAAAGAACTGGTAGAATAATCTATAGACATAATAAATTTTTAAAAAAAAGTTGTGTATATGCATAGGTGAAAGCATTGTACATACATTTTGAAAAGGAATTATTCAGTCATTTTTGAGACAATATCTCCTTACTGAAAGACAAATAGAATTTGATATATATTTTAGTTTAAATTTTTAAACTTATTTAGTTTCATGTTTTTTTTCCATGAAATTGAAATTTTTCTTTTCTTTTTTTCATTAATAATATGCAATATTCAACATGTAGGCAAACAACGAAGATTCTTTATAAGCAAATTCTAATGTAAATTTACCTTCTCACTTGGTTTTGGGTCATATTTTAATGCAACATATAACATGCAACTTAAGTCATAGGAATTTCCCCCTTAAACACACTTTTGTCTATCGTGTTCTCTGCTAATGGATTTTCTGGTAGATTTTTGTTTTTTTAATTCCTAGTAGAAAGAACAGAACATGTCTTTTGTTGGTGCTAAGGCTGAGAATCCCACTTCTGGCAGAGAAAAAGCTAAGACCTGAAGGTTATACACAAGCCCTTAACAAACCTTTCGTATACGGTAAAACACCATAAGCTTAATGGCACTAAGCTCTAGACAATGATGGAGGTTGTACAAAAGACCAATATTGGTTGTGTGCAAGGTTGTAAATAAGCCAACTCCTTTGACCTAGACATAACCCTAACCTGTCTTAAACCCCTACCTAACCTAACCTAACCTAACCCAACAAGTGGAATTCATACTTCCAGCATGGTAATATTTAGTACGATAGATCAATATTAGTCAGTAAGTGTCTTATTGTGAGTAGGAACTATCTTTAAAAAAAAAAAAAGATTGAACACCACACTCACTCCATTATTCACCATTTCTATCAATATTAGTCATGTTGTGCAAGGTCATAATGAAGCCCTCTCCTTTTAACCCAAACATAACCCTAACCCTACCTAACCTAACCTGCCTTAAACCCTAACTCTTACCCTACATAACCTAACCCCAACACTCAAAGTGTTTGTTTTCTGCGTAAGTGTGCCATTCTTGCATGCTGTGTTGAGAGTGCCAGTGAGATATTGCTGTTTTATGTTTAACTGGCACTCTCAACACAACACACAAGAATGGCACACTTAGCAAAAAACAAACACTTTGAGTGAGTAGAAATAGTTTGATCGAATATAAAAAATAAATTTTTTTGCATTGTATAAATTCACTTTTTTCCACATCCTACATGTCTTTGTTAAATTTAAATCATGTTTGTAAATCCCAGGTACTGAAGATGATCTCAATAAAAATCGAAACATTGGCACGATAAAGAAAATGTTTTTCTGTAACCTACATCACACCAGACCGCATCTCACAATTTCTGAACAATTATCGATTAATGGTCACTAATCACCACACGTTGCATATTAGTTTTGCTCTTGTAGGCTTGTAGAACTAACTGCCTGGCTACCTGATAATATCGTAGCACCCTTGAGATGTTTATTTATTTCATGACATGTTTCTATGGGTATATTCAGCTTGAAAGATGGTTGTTGGCCATAGTTTGGCCCCTTTATGCAGTACCAATTCCCATCTTCAAGTCATCTGTATACCATAGAGTCCAGGTTGTTCTTTTATTCTATCTTTGCATTCTAGTATTTTTTTATGTGTAAGAGTTAATTTTAACCATATCAGTTGTATTAACATTTTACAAAAATTTTAGTCCAGCTTTGTTTGATATTTCTTTTTAATCACCTGGGACCTGCCTTAGCATTATTTTTAAATCCCACTTTTTAATATAATATCTAAAAGACACGATTCAAGAAGAATCCAAGTTGTTACATTATCTATTTAGAATATTAAATTAGAGTTCTTTTATACAAAACCATCCTTACCTGTCTTAAACCTTAACCTTTACCCCACCTACCTAACCTAATAATTTTATATACCAATTTTGGAGATATTATATAGTAATTATTACTAGTCTGTACAACACTTTCATGAGCACATGCTAGACAAAAAAACACCTACAGGTAGACACGGAGATGTTGTGAAAACATTGAAGAAAATGTTCAATGTGTTACATGTAATGTTGCTTGCTTTTTTTGCTCTATTCAAAGTTCTTAATATATATATAATGTTTCTGATGATTGTCAATCTGTAATGTACATACAGTAGTATCATGTGAAAAAAGAGTATAAATGCAATTGATATATTTCAACTGAGCAGAAGCTAATCACAAGTAAGATTGAGGTTAGTACTATTTTTGACCATTTTCAAAAATGGTTGGTAAACCTGTTAACAAAATATTTTCAACACATTTTTTTAAATAAAAAAAAAAGGAGGATAGGCAATATAATATGTAATAATTAAAAAAAACATAATTATAAATTTTTCATTCTTACAATAAATTAACTGTTAACTTCAATATTTTACATCGTGTGTACATAGCAAAAAATTGAACTAAAAGGAATTGCATCATAATTAACACATCATAATTAAAAGGTAAATCACTCGATATTTGTATAGTTCATGATTTAGTTTACAAGTGTCCTTATTGTATACATTTTTATATTGACTATTAAAAATTTCTTTATTGTTAGTTTTTGTGTTTAAGTATATAATTATTTTACATTACTCACATACACCATGTCTTTTATGTCCTGTAATATCTAATAATGCTGTTTTCTATCAAAAAAAGTAATAATAATAATAAAAATTAGCAAATTCTACTTTATAAAAGAGTGTAGAAACAGATTGAAGCTTTTAGTAAAAGGAAATTTAGGTTGAAGGAGTGAAAGATTGTGAATATATTAGATATACATGAAGGAGTCGTGGTCTTACCCCCTTGTTCATCCAACATGACTAGTGACTTCATTCCCACCTCGTGGCTCTATAACACAATACAAGCTTTACTTCTCCCCCACCAGAAACATGCTCTTCTCTCATAAACTTCAGTATAATAAAAATAAATTACAAATAAAATACACAACATATTCAACATTAATATGGAAAAACCAAAACAGTTTACACTTTGTAACCAGGGGATACGGAATGGCAAGTAATTTCCCGAAGTGGTTAATTGCAGGTGAGGGAAAATGTTAAAAGTTTTTACATCACATTATAAGCCCAATTAATTCATACAAAGAAAAACTCAAGAGATTAGTGGGAAAGATATTAGTGTTATTAGTCACCACCACTGTTATTTATTGGAACCTTACAATGGCTTACCGCCTTGAATCGCCAACTTTGAGAGCGTTTTGCCACCGACTTCCTCACTCTAATAAACAAAATGTAGGAAAATATGAGTAACTTAAAATGATCTAAGACACTAAATTGGGCAATATAACTGATGTTTTGTGCTTAGGAAAGAAAAAAAATTAATAAAATGAAAAAACAAAAATAAATATCTACAGTCTTATAGATTTAACAATTGAGAAATAATATAGATAAAGGAAATATTTATGTATAAACTGGCGTATTTAGTTCAAAATTAACAAGCCAATTCTCCAGTTTATAGGCTCTTCTTAAAAAAACCACTGACTTCAATTAATTGATTTTAATTTATAAGTAACATTTATTTATAATTCATGTAAATAAGGATATTCATATAATAGGGAAGAGAGAATGACTAAAAAAATCAAAAGAATTTGCCAGAAAAAACGAGATGAATTTCAAAATTTATCAAGTGCAAAAACAAAGAAAAAAAACACAAAACAACAATTCATTTTATGCCCAAATTGAGGTCAAATGATAAGCTAAAAATATGTATATATAAATAAATAAAAAAATAAATTGTATGTTCGGTGTCATGAAGTGGTGTGGTGATATTTAAAAAAAAAAAAAAATTCGTACAATTGTTGTTAAACTGTGTAAAAAAAAATCAAACTAAAATAAAATAAATGAAAGCATTAACTTCAAAATATATACAAAGTTGTGAAAACAAAAAGGTCGACTGATTGAATTGTAAACAAATAAATTAAGATTTTTATACAAATATAAATTACTATATATTTAGAAAGAAGAAAGTAAATGAAATTAAATGACAAAAAATACATAATCACCACAACAAAGCAAAACATTGCTGCTTTAAGCAAAATTAAATGCTACACATTGATAGAAAAATAAAGAAGTATGTATATCATTTAAAAAACATACCATAGGAACACATACTACTGCACAACATAACACATTACAATGTTTAAATTAGATTATATTTAGAAATATACATTTTTTAATCTTCAAATCCTTGATTAAAAGCATCTCTTAAAATTGACAGTTTCGATTTTAAGTCAGATTTACATTTGGGTTAAACTGAGTCATGTTTAAGCGTATATTATTAAAATTTAGCCTCTAATATACAAATCGTAAGGTGCATTATAAGGATTCAACTTTTGTTGATCAAATAGTTGATTGAAATTTATAGAAAGGACCTTCAGACCAAGGTCAAATTTTTGTCGTTCAAATTGAAACTGACACGTTTCTGCTTTAAACCTTAACCCTTACCCTAACCTGTCTTAAACACTAACCCTTTCCCTACCTAAGGCAAATTGTCTTAAACCCTAACCCTAAATAACCTAACCTGTTTTAACCTAACCATACTAACTTATTTTTTTTACAACCCTGACCCTTTTCCAATCTAACCTAACCTGTCTTCAACCCTAACCCTTTTCCTACCTAACCTAACCTGTCTTAAACTCTACCCCTTACCCTACCTAACCTGCCTTAACCATAACCGTGGGGGGCCTGGAGTAAGTAAAATCTGAAGGGGCCAACCTCCAAGAATTTCTGGCGTGTTCATAAGGATGCATTTGTGCAAGAGTCGTCATGATGGAAACCCATGAGATAAGACATCATTTTTGGTCACTCGCTGACTTTAATCACTCTGATTGTGTTCAGTAGACACTAGAATTAACTATTCGGTAATGCTTGATAATATTTACCATGATAGACCAATAATATTGGTCATGGTGTGCAAGGTCATAATGAGGCCCACTCATTTTAACCTAAACATAATCCTATACTACAGACTTATTTTAAAATCTAAAGTTGTGAGAAAATTATTTCTTCTATTGACAAGAAAATGAGAATTGCTGAATTCACTACTTTAACACTAAACAATGCGTCTTTTATTATTTAAGAAATCCATTTGATGATTATAAGAGAAAAGAGATATGGGTGAAAATATGGTTAGTACTATCATAATTGCCTGAATTATTTGTAGAACAAAATTAATATGGGTAATAAAGAACTATAATAAGTTGTAAAGAAGTATAATAAAGAAAAATTGGTTTGCAAATCAGTTTATTTTTAAACTTTCAAAGCAAAAATTGATTCAGGTCGCATTCACCTTAAGTTGATCGACCAAAGTTGAAACATGCACCTTTATTGTTTTGAAACTCTTTCACTACAAACCTGCACTGGTTTTAATAAAGAAAGAACCAAAGTTTCAATCTTTAAGTGTTCTATTTTAAAAATAGCTTATTTTTGAGTGAACAAAGGTCAAAGGATAAAAGGGAGTAAGGATATTACAAGGTTACAAACTGTGTTAATTATATAATTATTAATATTTTTAAGATTATGCATACATTGTATCATAGATTCTTGTATTAGATAATAATATTGTGTGTATGTGAGAGAGAAAATAAAAATAAAACTTTTTTTATGTTTGATATGTGTATATACAGCTAAACCAATAGTGTGATTGTTTTTGCTTAGAACTTAAGAATACTGGAAAAAATATATATACACATAATTTTAGTGGTTTTTATTTAGTAAAAACACCGAGGAAGGCATGTCTAATTTAAACAAAATAATAAAATGTGTTACTGGTTATTAGTTAAAAAAAAAAATAAAAAAAAAATCCGTATTGTTTAACAAGATATTTTTTTTACAAAACTTATAAAGTATTTCTGTGGCCAAATAGCTATCATACAAATATTGGCAGTGTCATAGTAATTACATTAGATAAGCATATGGATTAATCTATAAAACCATATTTTCGTAAGTTTTCTATATGTCATGAGGAAAAGAAAAACTGGTTTGAATATTCATATATATCTACATCTAGTTGTATATTGTAGAAACATCTATGGTAGTATGAATAATAAACAAATTCTAAAAAAGCTTTTTAAAAATCTAATGCATGCTTCAATTAATTCAACACAAACATTATAGAATCACTCCTATTTAGATCAGCCAAAAATTCATTCTACTTATTCAGGAAGTGTTAAGGACCCAGAATGCATAATGAGTAGCCAATGAATAAACACAATTTTCTTTTTTTCCCAAGTCAAAAATAGTATTTAAAAAAAACTTAACTATATTGCAATATTCTAAGGTTTTTTGTAAAAGTTTAACATATCTACCACAAACCAACAAATTGGCAATAGTTTTTTTTTATAATCTGTAAATATTGTTTTATATAAATATGTTGTACAATAAAAATTTAAAGGCTGCTATGTCCTGCAGTAGCTTCATGGTACTTAAAATGAGATGTACCAATAGACTGTGAATATTTTCAAGGTTATATATATACAAATTAAATTGGAATCAACAACTGCATGGCAATGATTTTACAACTGGGTTCTATCGCTGGTATGAAACCTTGTTAATAATTGCTGTTAACTAATACTGAAGACTCCCGCATAACATAGTAGTTAATATCATGTTATGTCCATAAAATTTGAAATTTAAGACCTAGCTCAGAATTTTATGATTTATTATTTAAAAAACAAAGGCCTAAATGGGGAAATTGCACAACCAAACTAGTGTACATCTGCCTTGCTTTGCATATATCACAGATATTGAGCCATCCGATTAGGGCTCATTTATGAAAAGGGTGGCACTTTGATAACTATTAGCCCATGAAAATAGGATGTAAAGAGTTTTTTTGCCTCAAAATCAAATGTAATGGAATCAGATCAAATTTTCTGGCAGAAAATAGTGTAAAAACAATAGCCTATACTTTGAAGAGTAATATTACGTAATGTTTTAAATATTCAATCTGAAATAAAAGGTAATTTATATACAAGGACTTTTGTAATGAAGAATTTTGTTACAATCAACTGTTTTATATGAAAAAAAAATCATCTCAATATTAGCATGGATATGTTTTTGGGCTGGACAGACAAATTTTTACATTGCCAAGGAGTGTGCATGGTTAAGTTAGGTGGGTTAAGGAGAGGTCAGGATGGGTTAGGGTCCGGCCATGTTAGTTTAACGAATAAGGTTACACATCAAAGATTCAATGTCTTTTCATGAAGCAGAGGCAACATGCAAATGTAAAGCACAATTTTTAAAATGTATACAGCTGGATAATTTTTTTTAGTACATGTAGAAACCTACGTTATATCAAAGTCTACTGTAAATGTTACCAGGAAGTGTACATGAGTTGGGTTAGGTTAGTTTAGGTAGGATGAAGGACAAGTTAGGTTAGGTTAGGTTATGGTCTGGTCAGGTTAGGGATGAGTAAGGTTTCATATCCAAGGATCAAGTTTTTCCATGAAGCGGAGACATATGAGTCCACTGTGTGTCTTTTACACTGTACACATTCTAATAATTTTTTTCTAGAACATTGCTGTAACTTGCGTTAAATTGGAGTCTACTTTAATAAAAAATAAATGTAACTGGGGAGTGTGCATGGGTTAGGTAAGGTAGGCTAGGTAGGGTTATGGATAGATTAGGTTAGATTAAGAAGGGTAAGTGATGAGTAGGGTTTCATATCCAAGATTCAATGTATTTCCATGAAGTGGAGAAATGTAAACTGTCAAATAACTTGTAAGAACATGCATTAAATTGGAGTCTGCTGTAATCAAAAGTAAATGTTTCCAAGAAGTACGCATGGATTGGGTCAGATTTGGAAGTGTTAGGTTACAGATTAGGTTAGAGATAGTTTAAGTTAGAGTAGGTAGGATTAAGGGGTTATTTTGGAATCTACTCTGCTAAAAAGTAAATGTTTTCAAAATCTAATTAAGTCAACCAAAGAAAATTAAATTGATTAGTTAATACACCTTGTGGAAATATTTCTAAAAATGTCATCAATCTATTGCTAATTTAAATAAGTCAAAAATCAAATAAATGACATTAACATGAGTCTTCTACTATGCTTTTTCAAGAATTCCATGTATTAGTTTAAAGGATTTACATGAAAAGGCTTTTGAATTAGGGTTTTATGAGTAATTAAAACTACTTGAAACTAGGCATAAGAAAATAAAGCGCCCAACTAACTGCAAATTATTTAAAAAAAATTTCATCGTTGCTTGTGGAAGAAAATGAGACAGTTCCATTATAAAAAGCTCAGCCACTATAAAAACATCATACAATATGGCAACAACTTCTCAACTAAACGATAACAATTTTGCTTAACCTGCAGGACACATAACCCCCCCCCCCAAAAAAAAAAAAGACAGTAAACAATTTTTTTATGCAAGTGAGGCTAAACTTTTTTTATTTGGTGTTTATTGGAAAATGTTGCATAATTAAGCATTTTCAACTGGATTAACACACTGACAGATTTACATGCAATACACACACAGTTTAGCAGTATATGTATATGACAGAAATATTTACAATGATGTATTTGGTTTTGTTATGCCTTGTAGATTTTATTATTACTTAGTTTTTCTTCCTGTAAAAATTGTATCGGGTTCCTTTGCTAATTAATTTAGTTATTATTTAGTTAGTATTACTTTGTGTTTAGGTGTGAGATAAATTTCTAAATTGTGATATATTTTTTGTTGTACATTGTAAGTAGGTTTGGACACTCAGTTATCATGAACTACACATTTAATATATACCAAATTTGTCGTGTTTTGTTCTCTTTTGGCTTTTGAATGTCTTTCAAGTGTTTTTTGAAAGTGGTTCAATCAATTAAGCCATTATGTATAGAACTTACCTTAGTTTAAAAAAATTACAATAATAAGAAACACAAGGAATCATAAATTAAACAATAAAACATGGCAAAATCGTTAGAACATTTTTTCAATTAAAGAAAAGGGCGTTTGTATATTTAATAAACTGGTTTTTTACAAATTAGATAAATATTTATTGGGATTGATTTACACAAATTCCATAACATCTCCGTGATTTGTAAAGTGAAAAAAAAAAAAAAAAAAAAGGATAAGTCCAGTTTGTAACATGTGTGGTAATGTTACTGGAATGTTTATTTACAGGGTGATCCAAAATGCATGCCCATAAGTCATAAACTATAAAATGAAAGAAAAGCCAGCATTGTATTTTTTAAAAATATTTATTTTAGATATCTTTAGGTTTTATTATATTTCTTTAATTTTGATAACTTAATTGCAATATACAATGCGTGGTTTAAAGAAAAGAAAAAAAGAGGGAAATTTTTTGATAAGTATTTTGAATCAATGATTAAAATCTATTTTGATTTTTCATTTTCTATTTGTAAAAGTTATTCAATTTATCTATTTAAACAAGGACCTAACAAAGTTTTTCCTTTGTATTTTGAAAAGAAAAAATACACGCATGTGACATCTTTTTGAATCAGCCTGTGTGTTTAACTTTATAAAAACATTTAAAAAAAGGGATTTCATATCCTAAAAGGAGAATTTGTAACATAAATAAAATATATCTCAAAGAAATCAGAGTAATTAATTAAACATTAAAATAAAGTGAAAACAAAAATGAAGTGTAAAGGTTATTTAAACAAAAAATAAATAAATAAAATAAAAAAGAAACAGTATTTTTGTTGCCAAATGGATACTGTTTTTTTTCTTCAGCTTTCTAATTGTAATGTAAAGGGTTTTCAATAATGTTGTTGGGTTAGGTTTAGGTGTTGTTCTGTAACTCACCTCCCTGATCATCAAGAGCAACCAGTGTTCGGATGCCTGCTTCCTTGCTCTAGGCAGCACGAAAAACAAACACCCACCATAAGTTTTTAACACCATTGCATAGTCCACAACTTCCTTCTATTTATTCATACTAGATTTCTTACACTCGTCTTTTATTTTAGGATAAATTCAATCTGAAGGAACTTTTTTAAATTTTTTTTTAAATAAGTAAATGGGTGTTTATTGTAAACACAATGACTTGGATTGCAGACATACTGGTTTATTTTATTTTATTTTTTTAACGTGATGTAATAGTGTTATTAAATTTGATATTTTAATATGAATTGATAGAAAATATTAAATAATTTTAACCATTGTTGTGTATGCAATCAATTATTTGTACAAGAGGTAGTGTCCTGTGTAAGAATCCACATTTTAAAATGAATACATAGAAAGAACTAGTTAAGTGAACCGTACTAAATAAAATAGATATAGTAAATTATGTGAACAAATGGACATATGAAGAATACATATTTTTAAGTGTAAGTGACGAAGAAGATACGAAACATTCACAAGCCTCACAAAATCATGCCACAGGAGATTTTAGTCTGCAAGTAAATCTGTCCAGAACTTACTCTTCTCAGTTCTTGAAGTATAATAATAATAATNATGACACAGTGTACATATGTATCTCACATTCCAATTAAAAAACATTCATACAACAAAGGTACACATAGCCACATTATATACATCGAAGCAGCCACTAGGCAGACATAGATATAATAGACAGAACAGTATAGAGAAGAGGATGTTGAAGTTAAATAAAAAACAGAAAGGGAGGAAGCATCAAAAGGTTTTTTTTAGCACATTGATCTTGTGAGTTTTTTTTTTATCTTTAATAGATAAAAAGTAGGAAAGTTGATAGAAACCTGAAAAGGAAAAGTGCAGAAATAATGATTAATGAAACACTAATAATAAAATTATGAAATGAGAAAATAAAACTTATAAAAATTGAAATACAATTCAATCAAAGGTGGAAACCAAAATTTCCATTATAACAGAAAATAAAAGTAAAAACAAATTATGAGTTTTGTATTGGTTGTTTAATATTTGAAAATTATAAAAATACTATAAAACGTAATTTAAAAAACTAAAAAACGTAAAATTATTAACAATCAATGATAATTGTAACAAGAACAAATGTAAAGTTAAGTAGATATAGCACAATCAAAATATGACTGTTTTTTTGAAATTTGCTTCAAAGCTCTTTATAAATGTTAGGACATCACTTCGAGTATAGATTGTATTCAGGTTTTAAATTTGGTTGTGTAGAATGTTGGAGCAACAAAACTGATAAACGCAACTCCAAACTTATAAAAAAATGAGCTATAATCCAAATGATGTCAAAACGCCTCAAAAATATACGTTTGCAGCTCCTGAAAAACACTTATTAAATCATGAAAAAAACAAAACAAAAATATTTTACTTTTCTTTCCTTTTGCATTGCATTTCTATTTTAAAAAATAAAATAAAAAATTGGGTATTGACTAAGCTTCGCTATAAAGCTGCACTTATTGACTTAAGGGGAAAATATTTCCACGATACAAATCTTTATGACACAATATTAACAGAAAATATGCAATTTGTACAGCTTAAAAACAAACAGTTAATATTTATAACCATGATTCTCATGAATTGGCTTTATTTGTGCAAAAGAGAAAAGCAAAATTTCAAAGATAAATGAGCGAACATGGATAAAAGCATTGAATTTATTTTTAACAAATAGACACTGAAAAAAATCAAATTCTCTAACAATTGTACAAATCCCACGTTTTAAAGTGTTAAAAAAATAAAAATAAATGGTTACGATTTTTTTAATCTTCAAAAACAGTCGTCAAAGTACAATAGTTGAACAATCAATAGCACAGACAGTAATAGATTGAAGAGGTGAAAAGACAGAGACAAAACTGAAGGTGATGCCAACTTGATTGCCGGATAGAAACTCTATTAAACAGAACTTATAAAAAGTTCACACGAGTTGCAAACACATTGATCAAAGCTGGTAACAATTAAAAGGATTATTTAAAATTTTCTCACCTCCTCGCAGAGGGAAAGCATCCTCCTGGTACTGTCCAAGGACTGAAATTAAAAAAGAATTATTAATTGGGTTGTAAATAAACTTAATTACTATGATTTTTGTGTTATTTGGTCTATCGTCGCTGGATTGGTCTGTTAGACGTGTTTCAGCATTTACCATCTTCAGTGCATCTTCATCTCAGACCAACCCAGCGAGGATATGCAGAAAATGTCCCAATTATAGGTTCATCACCCCACAGCAGACCACATGAGGAAATCACACAATTACGTTTTTATCTTGAATTAATCAAAAATTACAATGAAACAGTAAAACAGTTTAAATGACTCTAATGCTGCCCTGGAAGTTCTCTTGACCACCACTACAAAAGTGGCCAATAAATTTTTGCCAAAGAAAGTTCAATGCCACCTATCGGCCCTGAAATAAAGCCAATATTAAGACCTACCAGACATACCAAATCGCCAGAAACATAGATCTAAACAATGCAACAAATAAGTCTTCTGTTCCATGGGATTATATTCAAGGGCTAATAAAACTAAAAACTAGTGGCAGAACTATTAAACCTAGGATGTGCTAGGACTAGAATGACAGTAGGACAACTGTGCAGAAGATGAAACGGAGGAACTTGGTTAGTGCATATGAAGGTTGGGATTCCTACTCCTGGAAGAGGAAAAGCCAAGGCCTGAGAAAAGCTTTGGGATCTGATAAAATGCCTTATAACCAAGAGCTCCGGTAATAATGCAGATTGCACAATAGACCAATATTGGTTACAGTGCACCAGATTCTAAAGAGACCGACTTTTAACCTAAACATGGCAGTAGCCTAACCTATCTAAAATTCTAACCCTACCTAACCTAACCTCTCTGAATCCCTAACCCATGGATGCAAACTCTCTATTAACACTCGGTACTACAGTTAGATATGTTTGTTGTTTCTATTTACAAAAGACCAACAATTTTTAACCTAAATATAACCGTAACTTTAACCTAAACTGTCTTAAACCATAACCCATGGATGCAAACTCTCTCGTACCACTTGATACAAGTTTACTATCATTATATATGTTTTTTTGTTTTTAACCACAAGGTCATAGAGACCGACACCTTTTAACTAAATATAGCCCTAATCCTATCTAACCTAACCTAACTTAAACCCTAACCTTTACCCTCCCTAAACTAACCTAACCTGTTTTAAACACTTACCCTTGGACGCAAACTCTCTAATAACCCTTGGTACTACAGTTAGACATGTTTGTTGTTTCTATGCACAAGGTCATAAAGAGATTGACTCCTTTTAACCTAAACATAACCCTACACCTAACCTAAACTATCTTAAACCTTAACTCATGATTGCAAACTCTCTGGTAATGCTTGGTTCAACTTTACTACAGTTAAATATGTTTGTTGTTTCTGTCCGTAAGCACATAAAGAGACCAACGCCTGTTAAATATTTTAATATATTTAAACTATATATTACCCTATTCCTATCTAACCTAACCCAACCTGTCTTAAACCCTAACCCATGTATGCAAACTCTCTAATAACGCTTGGTACTACTGTTATATATGTTTGTTGTTTCTGTCCACAAAGATTTAAGGAGACCGACTTCTTCTAACCTTAAACTTATTTATTATATTATACTTTTTATCCCCAACTGAGTATAAATAGCCCAATATCATGTCTGCAGCATCAGAAAATGAACTAGTTGGAATAAAATGCAAGAAGAAAGGACGGCTTAACCCATGTAGTTTGCCATGGTGCTAAAACTATCCACAACAATCCAATAAAACCTTTACTATATATGTATATAAAATGTATTCTTAATTTACAATTTTTTTAAACATTTAAAAAATTATTAATGAAGCCAATAAGTAAAGGGTTTTGCTTGAAGAGATCAAACTGTTGTTTTTTTATTCCTTCCTCTTTGACATTGTGGTGACAGTGGTTTCTCTTTCTTTCACAAACGATTTTTTGTGGAATATCCATAACCCCTTCTTCTTGGGGTTCCTCTTTGCTTATTTCTCTAGGAGTTAGTGTAACCTTTTCCTAAGTGGATGTACCGTTTCGGAACTAATGCTTTGCAACCATACAGGACATGTTCTAATGTCTCTGCTGTTTCATGGTAGACCTGCTGGGTTTCTGTCTGCTTTTCCCATTTTTTAAGGTGGTGATTAAATGGACAATGGCCAGTATAAATGGGCTGTTTGAATACATCCAGTGTGCAGTAATTTCTTCATCCATCCTTTTGGGTGTGATTTGTGGTTCTGGTACAAAGGCTGTGAGGTTATGCCAGTTTGTCTGACTGCCCATTGCTTTCATACCTCTCCTGGAACCCTTCAGACCCGATTCCGTTTTTCCCGGGAGTTGGAAATATTTTAGGCCCAGGCAAGCTTTCCATCTGCAAGGGCAGCTGTGCAGAGTGGATGAAGGAGTCTAAAGCCTTCAAAGCTGTCTGAGAATATCTTTTAGTACCTTTTTAAGTATTGATTGTGGTCAGAGTTCTATTGCATGGATCTCAGCTTGGAAAATTGTGCTTTGGGACCTAGAGGTTCTTAATTTAGGTCTTTAACCCCTGCCTCCACTCGTGAAGAAGACCAGCTTTGATTGGAAGGAATCAAACGCCTCCAATGTATCGTTTTGGCCATTTTTTGAGGATTTCTTGTGCAGAGAGTAAGAAAACGATTTACTTCTATCAAATTATTTATTTTTGTTAGGAACGTTTGTGTGTTTAATATCACGTCATAATAAAAAATGTACGCCTTAAACTATGAGCTTTGTTTTCTATCAAGTGGAAAAGTACGTTAAATTGTGCGTTGAAAGAAGCGTCGAAGGTATTTAAATCATCTTTGGATGTGGGTCAACGAGGTTAAACATATGTATGTTAAGATGAGGTCAAATGTCGGCTGTCCATTACTGCCGATGACTAATGGCTTACCTCACTCACCCACATCGTCCTTTGTCGAGTTTAATGCAAATTTTCACTTTACTGTTATTATTATTTTTTTAATCGATGTGTTTTTGAACATAAAGTTGGTGATCCTAAATTTTGAAGTTTCAGTTTAATGCAAATTTTCTCTTCTACTGTTATTATTATTTTTTTAATCGGTTTTTTTTGAACATATAGTTGGTGATCCTAAATTTTGAAGTTTCAGCACCTTAAGCAATACTCAGAACAGGATGACTAACTCATCATGCAGTATAAAGCAAGTTTGAACCAAATCTCGATCAGAATCTTTGGGTACGACTGTTCGAAATTAGGACAGACTTTTCCCATTAGGAGAGCCGAAAGCGTAACGAGCCCTCGGGTCGAGATTATACTCCGCAACTGGTATCCGTGTCACATCCTTCAATAATTCAACGTTTTCTACCCGTAGATATAAAATATCAAAAATTTGATATCTCATGTTAACTTATCTGAAATTTAAATCTTTCGGCATCCAATAAATCTAAGTTTACTCTCCTGACCGGACAGAAAGGCATAATGGATTGGATAAACAAATTAACATCGTTTTGAGTCGGAATTGGCTTAGAACCAAAGGTTGGGTGAGAACTACTCGATGTCCTTCACTCACCACGAGCTCATCGTTTAAATATAGATGAATCCGTTCCTCATTGGGGCAGAAAGAGAAGGGAAACCCGTAATTTATTGAGAACATATATCATTTCATAAGTTTTACAGATTATTCGGTCTAAAAAACAAAACACTTCATACCGGCGAATTCTTTAATTCTTTTAACTGAAAACTAATCCAGAAAAACATGAATGTTTATTTATTAGAATATATTATTCATTATGTGACTAGTGACCGTTAGTCTATGATTATTCAGAAATCGTGAGATGCGTCTGGTGTGACGTAGTTTCTGAAAAACATTTTCTTTATCGTGCACGTTTCGATCTTTACTGAGATCATCTTCAGAATATACACATCAAACATTTTTACATAGTCTAACTTTTCAACAATTTAGCTTTCCTTTTCCTAATTATCCCCGTCTATATAATCCTGAAAGGATAATCTGGCCAAACAAATTACCAACGTTTTTCTCATCGTCGGCTCTTTTCACCTCAAAGAAGCCGACTCCTTATACAAAAATATCTTTCTATACCGACTTCCTTCCCCACCCCTTCAAAATCTAACATATATAAAAGTAAAACAGCAATATCTCACTGACACTCTCAACACGCAAGAATGGCACAATTACGCAGAAAAGAAACACTTTAATTGAATACAAAAAATATATATTTTTTTTGCATTGTATAAATTCACTTTTTGCCACATCCTACATGTCTTTTTTAAATTTAAACATGTTTGTAAATTGCAGGCCCTGAAGATGATCTCAATAAAGATCGAAACGTAGCACGATAAAGAAAATGCTTTTCTGAAACCTACGTCACACCAGACCGCATCTCACGATGCCCGAATAATTGTTCATTATATTACTGGCCATCATACTTGAATTTGGAAATCAGCATCAAGAATAAAAGTTTTTATTTATACTATAGGCGAAAATTTGCAAATAAACTTCAAATTGTAGCCTTTTAAGTCAAGTGGCCGCAGTCGTTTAAGGGTACTCGGATTGGAAAAGAAGATATTAAGGTTGAGTGTAAAAATACCTTGAGGACTACTGATTGGACGGATTGGATGGTTAGGTCATAAAACTGAGCCCGGAGCTGGCATTAAATATGACGAGGTCTCGAGGGAATCGTAGGTTAAGGTGAAATGGCGGGTTCTCAAGATATAGAAAGTATAAATGGATCGAAACGTTGATGTTGAACTTTTGGAAGTGGGCTCTGATCAGCTCGTTAACAAAAGCAATGTTGAAGTCATGTTGATCGAGAGGCTAGTCATATAGTCAAACTTTGGGCAATTTGATGACTTTTCATTGAAAAAATTCAATGCGTGTTAAGAAAAACAAGCCAAAGCTGGCACACATTATGAGGAGGTCTCGGGGGATTCTAGATTAAGGCGGGTTCTCAGGATGGGAAAGAGCAGAAAGGCTTGGGCAGTAGGGATAGGATGGATCGAGAAGTTTAAGTTGAAGTTGAAC